TCGCGTCGCGAATGAAAAGTGCATTGGAAATGGAGTAATGCACCAAGTCTGCAAGGATGGAGGTCCTGGAGATCCTGGATGATTTGGGTCGATGCAGTTTGAGGTGGACCTCATCAGTGGACTCTGCTCTTACACTCCAAATTCATCGTGTTTTTGGTGAGTGTTGAAGTCTTAACACTCTCAGAGTGTTAATAATACATGACTAGTAATACACACGGAAAAATATATATTGCATTTTTAAGTAAATGTTATTTGTTTCGAATATTTCATAAGTTGATACGTTCGCAAATTTATCATAAATTTATCATGAGCATCAAATTTATTTGAAGTACATTCTAATTCCTAATAGGTTTCTTATTTCAATCAAAAATATTAAAGTAGATATTTATTTTATTTATTACATAGGATCGCGAGCTAATTTTTTTTGACTAATATATTTATAGAGAGAATAAATTCTTCTTTTGATTATATGATAATGAGCTTTTCTAAAATTTGTGATAAGTATATTTTGAGACTGTTAAAAAGAAAATACTCTTTGTTGAAGATAATCATTATTTAAAAGAAGAGAAATAAGTTGAGTAATCACTTTTTTTTAGCAGTAGAATAATATTTTTCTGTGTGTAATACAAATCGCACTGATATCCGGGACATCGCGCGGGGAATGCATGAAATAATAGACAATGAAAGCTCAGTTGTATATTTTCACTGAGCAGTTTTATTCATTTGAATATCATGATTCTATTGTTCAATTGATATTTCATGTTATTATGTGTTACACATTTATATGTCTGTATATTTATATGTATATGAAATAATTTTATAATGATTTGATTCTATTTGAATCGGCACCAATTCAAAACTACCGATCTGAAAGTTTTAACAGAGGATGCAATACATCTTCGACGAAAAGTTTCGTGTATATTTTTTTAAACTTATTACCGATAAATTATAATTATTAATTATTGATCTCTCAACCGTCGCGTTGCATTCATAATTAAGGATCAATTTCGATATTTCCGATATCGTAACTCCACGCGTATTAACAACGATTCACGATCGCAAAGTTCGGTGAATTTTTGCTGTATAATTGTGTGCATTTAAGGAAACAGTGAGACCGAGGTAATAATCTGCCGTGATACGTGACGGCTAGGTACACCTACGTTGTTTTGACTTTCGACGCTGCAACATGTTCTCCGAAAATTCTACGCGTATTAATAGCCGCGTCTATTTTAAGCGATTAATAGTCGCGAAACCTTCGGTCTGTCCTTCGTACCATCACTGATCGATGTACTGTCAGAGTCATATTAAACGATTAGGAGAATTCGGGATTATTCGCAAGACTTACCGATTTTCGGAGCAGTGACTCCTAAAACGAAGTGCGAATACTGTTTCTACAGATTCTCTTATGAAATGTTCTTTTAGTATGACATTTTTTTATCAAAAGTTTGAATCATATAGATCTATAATAAAATTTATTTCTCTTACGGAGTATAAAGGTGGAGGTATTAATTGGAATATAAAAACTGGAAGAAGTTCAGATTCGATTTCGGTCTTAAAACACGTGGAATTTGCAGACATAATTTGGGAGGGTTAGAGAAAGCGCCAAAATTATTGACGTTTATTGTTCGTACTTGCGAAGGTATCTCCGCTATGCCGACTACGCATAGTTGGCTCGAGTTTGCAAGCTCACTCATAGCAGAACGAACACCGGTGCGTATCGTATTCAGGGAGCGAAGTATCCAGACGCGTAAAACAACTTCTATCGAACCCGCAAGACGAAGTCACTACTTTGTAATCGGTATCGCAAGTATCGACGCTAACTTTCGCTTCAGCTCGTCAAGTATCGCCACGCTCGCGTTTTACATTAAATCAATCAAAGGAAGTCTGTTACATCGCACTCATGTAAACGAAAGTCGTAGGAAAGATTTATGAGACGTCCGCTTTGATGGCCGGTATTCGGTTAAATAACACGTGTTTTATGACAGCTAACTCACTCCAGTTACGATTAAGCGCACACACATGTAGCAGCACAAAGCTGTCAGTATGTGATCGCAGTCGAGCTTAAAATATGATTGGGATCATCGATAGCCTGTGCTGTGTCAGTTTGACAGCTTCGCCTTTCCACTCTTGAGACGAGTCTCACGTCGAAAAATGGCTCTTCCACGGGAACTATTAATTGCACGATTCCTCATGGAACATACACGTCTAATCGATACGTGCGTATAATGGCGCGAATAATCGTCCCGTTCGCGGGAAGGATCGCGGCTGTGATGGATGGTGGTTTACGGCCGACCCGGCACTTTCCGTCGGTTAAGTTTCAAGCGCCGGCGCGACCGCAAACTTTCGTTATTTATAGGCCAACCTGCGTCTTCTTCGGGGTGCGTTCACCGCACGATCGCAGCCACATTCCAACGTTTATTACGTAGGTTACGTGCAGCAACTCCCATTACGTTATTCGAGAAAATCCGCGCAACCGAATTTATACGCGCATGTGCACGTCGTTGTCGTCGTCATCGTCGTCGTCCTCGTCGTCGCCCCCGCTGACGAAATTAAACTTTTGGATATCGTTCCAAAGATGACACCCGGTACTTTTCGACTTGAATTTCATGCATGGAAGAAACGTCCAGTTGGGTCAACCACATCTTTGGTGAAATATGAACAAGTCAGAAAATTTAGAAGTTAAGAATTCTGTTCACATTAATTAAACAGAAATCTTTTGTTAACTCGAACAGAATTCTAATAGCTTCAATTGGAATTTCTGGTTTGTTCATATTTCATCAGGTATTCGGTAAATTCAACTAAGCTTTCAGTCGAGAGAATATCGCCGCGGGGAGTTTTTATCCGTTGCATTCTCGTCGATCTGTTGTTATCGTGATTTTTCTCAGACATTTTTCGTACAACCTCGTGAAAGAAAAGAGTTATATATATATATATATATATATATATATATATATATATATATATATATATATATATATATCTTTGCTCGGTGATGCTCCGCGGTATTTCCTGGCAATTTTATCTTTAATGCCACGCGCTTTATTTAAAAGCGCAATTTTTAGGGATAACGCGAAAGATGACGTATATCTGTGCTTCATCGGAAAAGCTTTTTCTAGATAGATGACGGCAATGCGTATAAATATAAAACAGTATCAGAATAGACACGCGCGGCATTTTTTTTTCGAAGTCCACGTGTTTCGCGAACTGATATTCTCAGGTTTGAGCCTCAGTCACGCTTTCGATGAAGTTTCAGCTTTCGAAGAATCGCGATGTTTACTATTCGTATATATTATTATGAATTCTAGTCGAAGCTCTCGCATATTATACAATAACTGATGGCTGATTGACACTGATGTCGTTGAGGAGCGCGAATGATCCATTATGACACTACCGTTAGGTGTGCCCGGAAGTAGTAAAACAATAGGGGTTAAACACCGTGATCGTAATAAATTATCGCGCCAACCTCGTAGGAAGGTAGGGAGCGTTGCGCGGTCGTTTATGACAGTCGCAGGGGATATGACATTGAACTTAACTCGTTAATAACCTCCGGCCGTAGTTGATACGAATGCAAACATATTGTTTCGTTCTTCACTGCACATGCGATCGCACATTGAAGGAATTATAAAATATAATTTTATAATTCCCACGCTCAAATTGTGTTTCACAAAAGATTGTTTTTGGTATTTATTTAAATAACGATTAATTATCCTTTCTTTGCCGCTTTCGTCATCGAGCATTTGCGGGAACAATCGTACTCGTTGGATGCAGGGGCTAAAATAATTTTCAAGGGGAAAAACAGAGGGAGAAGGCGAAGAGTAAATTAGTATGTTCGTGAGGCCGTTTCGCGGCCGTCTGCAATTATAATTTGCCACGTGTGCAGAGTATGCAAGCTGTGGCGAGGGACACATTCATAGCGTTAAATTATTCCTGGGATGTTTATACGAGATTATAATTAAGTAACGAGTTGGAAAAAGGTCGCGAGTAGGTCAATTTGCTTTATTTTCGCGACGGCATTTATCCGCGTGATAATATCGTGTCATTTTTCACGTTAGACAATTTTTGGCCTATACTTTCGCGAAATTTCACGTAATCTGTCAGTGTATTGACATAATTCATTTCAACGTTACGATGACGCGCGAAATAATCCGGCTCGATTCCGTCGGTCTTTGCTCTTTTCTCGTATAAAACGAACGGCTCTATTTCTTCGTGAAACGCTTCATTTACAGACAAAGAACAGTCACTTATGTGCCGGGAAAGAAAATTAGCGGAAGTACGATATCTTTGATATCTTACAAGTCGCTTGTGTAATTCATCGAGTTGTTGGGATGCGAAATTCATTGTTATTTCGAGTATATTAACATAACAATCGCTGTCAATGTACTCGCTGTTACGTGACGTGGCTGCGAGTTACGTCGTGACTTTTCTCGCGTTACTTCACTGGCAAACAGCGGTGTCCTATAAAATTTTCACGGTCTCTGATCCAGACACGTTACGTCATCTTCGCTTGGTTTGTTTATTTTGCATGATATAATCGATTGTGCACTTAATAAATAAAGGATTAAATATAGATTATTAGACATAAGTAAGCTAATTTTTAAATCGACACGCCGTCACGATTTCTTTGTAATATTTGTGCAATTTTGTGTATTTCGCGGAATTTCGTTCGTCGTGTGCCTAATGAATGTTTTCTTTGGCGTTGTGCTTTGAGAGCTCGAGAATTCGTCGGTAATACACTGAGAGAAAAATACTTGAAAATTTATTAGCGGGAATACAAAATTTATTCACAGAGATGAACTTTATTTCACAGAAACAAACTGTATATTCTGCATATAAATTTTCAAGTATTTTTGCTGAGACTCCGTTTTTTGTGAACTTACTCAGAGCATCTAAAATTTGCCGGTGGTCTCGCGATGACGATGGCACATCGAACGTTTGATCGTGCTTCGCGAACGAGAACGTGACTCAGGTGGACAAATTTACTGAACTGATTAGAGACTCACCTAGAACGCAAGACGTTAGGAGGATTTGCAAGACAAGCTTCTTCATGATGCGAATGCCTTGATGGGCGCCGGCACGTAAACCGCGGACGCGGCGGCACGTTGATTCGGAATAAAAAGAGCGGCGCGATTTACGTCAAGCACGCGTTCTCGTCTAAATTTAGATTGCACTGCAATAATAGCGTCGGCTGTAGCGCGGAAGACCGGCACTGGAGAACAAGCGGAGGAGACTCTCTGCTCCGGCACTGGAGCAATGGTACTCTTCCGGTGTTGTACCGCAGGTGTATCAGGTCGTGTAAACGCCGTGCGACCGAGAGCCAGCTGTCTTGTGTTAGAAAACGACTGGTCGATGAAACCGCATGCAGTTCTCTCTCACACGATTCGTCCCGCGAACCCTCCTTTGCTCGATATCTCATGGGTCGAACTGAATCGCCGTGGTCCACCTCGCAGCTCTTCGCGAAACTTGACTTTGCGCGGGAAGCGTCTCTCCCGCTTGTCTGCGAATATTTTCGAACGCAATCGCGTGCGAGATCGCGTGGAAGCGACGTGAAATCGTACGGAGACGAAACGGTGAGCAGCACAGCAACATTCGCGGCCGTACGTTATCCGTCACGATCACCTGGTGCGTACGCTATCGAAGCGACGAGCGACTCGAGGGAGACTGAACAGTCCCGGCTCTAATTCTCTGTGCCTCTTCCTCCTCCACCTTCTGTTCTTCCCACTAGACTGCCTCCTATATCGACGTCGATCGCGGAGGCGGTTGTGCCTCCAGCGGTATTTTAGATTTTTAAGATCCGCGGTATTTTCGTATGGTCTCGTGAAGTCGTAGCTTGAAGTAGATAACTGCTAATGGAAATTATTGATCGATTATCCCTGGAAGATTGGACGAAATAGAATAGTCGCGAATCTCATTAAACGCATAGCGCTTCGAGGTTTCAGTTCTCCGCGAATTCGCGGAGTGATTAACGAAATGGACATTTGTGTATGTTACGTTACGCTATTTAGTTGTTATTATATCGACTGAAAACTAACATATCAAAGCGGAACGTGTCATCGATAAAATTAGATAAATTTGAGATTATGAACTCTTTAAAAATAATCTTACACGCGCATTTCGTGATTAATTGTCGGATAATACAGCTGCATCCTGATTACGGAAGGCATTCCAGCTGGTCATTGAGGATTTGCTTAATAGAGCGATCATTACGAGGATTTGGTATGGTAGGATAACCTACTTAAAGGATTACGAGTTATCTCGCGACAGACAAATGGTCTTTGACGCGGCATTAGCGTGATTAGTGTAATCGACAATATTCACGACGCAATCTCTATTAGACTTTATAGCCGCACATATAATTGTAAAGGGGTACTTTATCGGAAACAGTACAATGTGATTTGCAATATATATAACGTATTATCAATATTTATTTATTTCACTGATCATGACAAAGTAATAATCACGTAAAGCTGTTAAAAGTAAAACCCCGTTATCACTAGATCGTGTACTGTATTTACAGGTATAGTTCGTATTCGACTAAACTTCATGTGTGTGTCTGTGTGTGATGTGTTTCTTCTCCAACGATATATTTATATATATATTTCTCTTCTCTCTCTGGCGTATAGCCCTCGCTCATCGTACAAAGATTGAGGCGAGTAAAGCTAAGGTTTAGTTTTTGTTCATTTCGTCATACTTCTCATTGTCGCTCAAATCATTCAAAGCAAATCGTAATCAGTGTCATTTCCGCCGTAAGAAAAGATTATTGTACCCAAAACCCCGTTCAATGAAGTAGTTGAAGTAAAATACTCTAGTTAACAATAAATTATTAAATATCTATTCACAAATGTATGTATAGGCTATCGTTATTACTATCATCTCATCGTCGCCGGATACTGCTATTCCCGCTGTCGTTCTGTCAGTGTCGTTATGACTATTCTTACACATAGACACGGCCTATAGCTTACTGTATTCATGTTGTCAATAGCGACCGGAAATTCACGAGGTTTCACGTCGCATCTTCCTAATTCGACGACATCAAGGCGCACATTGAGACACGGTCGCCTGTTGCACCACGTGTACAACGTTCATTACACTTCTCCTTCGCGAATGGTTGTCGATGAGAAGACTTACCGCAATACCTCGTCGATTTCCATGTCTAGTTATTAACACGGATGATAATCTGTGATGACGCGTTACAAAATGAATCTTGCTCGTGACATTTGATCGGATGAGACGTTGTACATCGTTTTTGTGAGAGTTATCTCGAGTGAGTTGCACCAATAGCTGATTGATCGCGACTTATTCGTGCACGGACGTTCACACGCGAAGAATCGTAGATCTACGCATGCGGAATGTATAAGCTACCATTTTTTTACACTTGCGAGTGATAAATCATGATAAGAAGTGACAATTGCTTCGTTTCTTCTTCCGGGATCACAGTCTCATTTGTGACGGGAGTTCAAGGAGAAAATTAGCTACCAACTGGCTTGATGCAACTCCTCTCCAGACGCTTAACGTTAGACGATCGTTGAAATTGCGTTTGATGTGTAACAAGCATCACAATTAGAACACGCGAACTTCTTGGAAATCCGACGGTGACGTGAACGTGAACGACAACATGATCATTATCGATTATCGCGCGCCAAGCTCAATGCATAGTCGCGCTTCTAAAGATTTCGCTAGCATTTCGGACACGTAAGAGTGAGTGTTCACGCGCGCGCTTTTCTGCGCGTGTTGTGTAAACCGCATAGTATAAATCTCTCTATATGTATATAATCTTTGTCTCGCGCCTCTGTCGAAGATGACGTTTCGAAGCCTGTGCCTTTGGAACTTCATCTTAGCGGAAAACGTAGCGCGAGAACTGCAGGATGCACTATGTATACATTAAGTAACTTTCCGGCCGTTCCCGTCGTCGGCGAGTGCGATGCTGACTGATTGTTCGGAAGTTCAATAGAGACACCATCAGGGTCAGATTTACCGGAGCAAAATCTTTTACAAAACTAGCTCGTTTTAACGTGGGATTGTAGAAAATCAGAGTCTATTTATGACCAATGTTTAAGGACAAAATTGATTATCGCTGTTACTGTTCTCGAAAAGATCTCCCGCAGCAGCAATTATAATTATAAGTACGACCCTGAACACCGCGAAAATGCATGTCCTCGAAACGTACGTACATTGCTGTCTGCTTTGCACAATTCGTTCTTGTTAGATATCGTTAGAGGCCGATCCATACGAATCGACCGTTTTTTTCCGTTCGGTACACAAGCGCTATACAATTACACGGTGTTTCATCTACAATTCCACTCTACATCTCGCACTCCTCGTATAGAATATGACTTTCTTGTAATCTTTATATACACGTCTACCTCTTATTACAGACTTTGCTAGTTACTCGGCTGCTACATTGCTTTACAACTACACTCGACTGACTCACGACGATCGCCGTCGTTCGTCGTGAACGCGCGCAATCGCATCCGTGCTTTCGATTTGCACCCTTTCCGGGGAGAGGGAGGGGGGAGGATGAGGGCTGCTAACCCTTTATTTCTGTTTATTCCGATTTATTCGCCGTAAAAGAGAAGAATGGGAAAAAAGAACATTCATACCGCACATTCGCATCGTAATCATGAGAATGACAGTTGTTTTATGCACTTTTCTCTCTTTTTCTCTCTTTATTCGGCAATTTTAATAGACGGGCGGGAGGAAGGATCGGGGTATAGCAAAACGCTGGATGGTCAAAATCTTTTCGAAGAACGTCGATAAAAATCGCGAAAAGAGACGCGTGTGAACGTTACAAAACGTTGCGCGGGAGCATTTTTTAAAAACGCTGGTTTGACTAAACGTTTTCTGGCTAAACGTTTACCACTATTCCTCTTTTTTCCATTTTCTTTTTTTGATTGACTGACAGTTTTATTTTTGAAGTTCTAGTGCTATGAAACAAGTTTACACTGGCGTTTCTTTTTTTTTTACGTTTTTTTACTATCGATGCAAAACTTGTCCTTATTTAATTGGCTGTATAAAAGCAGTTTACACATAGTTTCAATTAACAACGACAATCCACTGAATTTGTACGCGATATAACACGTCAAGAACAAATATATAGCTTAGAAAGATATTGACATCAGACATTCGCAATAGATACATCATGGATGCGTTATTAACAATTTGGTTCGTCGATGCGATCAATGTTATTTTGTTTTCAATTACAACGAGGCAAAACTTCCAGTCTTAATTAAGCGCTTTTTGGCGCACTTCTGGCAGGGTAGTCTTTTTCTAAAGAAAAATAAGAATCGAACGAAAAAGAATGAAACGAAACTGAATCATTGACTCTCCCACCGTAATGATCAGAGAATGTTAAAAATGTTAAGGACGTACAGCTACAACGTCACGAATACGTATTTAAGTATTGGTGGGCCGCTTTATGCTGCGGCTGGAAAAAGGAAATGGGCGAAGCATTCATACATATTTTCTCATTTTTAATAGCTCTCTCGTTCGTTCTCTCATTCTCACTTGTTTTTTTGCTATTTACAAACGTGTGGCTTAAATAACGTTCGTTAACATTTTCATTCTGTTCTTTTTCGCTATCATTCTTTTCGAGCTCTCTCTCTCTCTCTCTCTCGTGCGCGCGCTTTCATTTACTTAAAATAATTATTTAGATATTTTAATTTAAAATGTATCATTCGCTCTACACGCGATCAGGATGAGGGGCCGACTGATCCTCTTTAATCCTCGTTAATTCGCGACTACGCTATCACACGCAATGGATCAGAATCAGAACACTAGTCACAATGTGCATTACAAAATTAATTCTGTTTTTGCAATCGTGACTTTGCATAGTTTACGTTTCAAATATAAAGTATTCATATACGATAAGGATGAACAAAAACTGAATTTAATTGCATTTTAATCGCAGTGTCGAGTTGTCTCTTATGATCTATGTTTCGATGCTTTATAAAAATAATTGTCCAGAAAGTTAAGTGTAATTAATCTAAAATGAAATTCTGTAGTCCCTATATAATTCTGTAGTCCCTATAAATTCTGTAGTCCCTATATAATTCTGATCCATTGTGTATTATTTTTCGACTTCGTTACTGCGAACTGAGAAGAGTTGATGTCGCCCAAATTGTTGTAAACTTGTCCGTCTTATAAGGGGGATGCCGGGCGGTATAGAGGATTACCCTTGATGGGAAGCACGTGAGCCTCAGAGTTGAATACCCAGTCGTCTAGACTTATGAGATCATCGTCGCTGAAGAGTAGATAGAGATACTGCAAAAAGACAAAACATTTTCACGATCTGTATTGAATTTTTAATAACATTATTTATTGGAATATTTGTCTGTCGGATTAGCGAAAATGTTATGTGAGGCTTAATTGCAGCCACATTACCGACTGTTTCCAAGCAGAATATCAATCTCCACAGTCTCCTACGCAATATGTATAAAAAGAAATAAATACCCTCGACTTTAATTTTTAATGGTATGACGGTAAAAGCGTCATAGAAAAGTCGACATCATTTAAAACCAATTGCTCCTTATGAACGCGGTACCTCCGTCTCTTACTTCATGCTAAAGTGAAAGGGCTTTTGATGGCAGAGAGAGAGCTACACGGCAATTTGCAGACGACGGAAAAGTATTCCATAAGTGGCGAGATTTCCGACTAAATAAGATGTCGAGAGAAATTCTATCATTATAGATATTCGTTGAAAATTTATCGTAGTCGGGTAATCGTGTTGGATTCGGTCCCAAAGAGAAACGGAAAGTTTTTAAGTGATACTAAACGGGCAAACCAAATGTAAATTCGCGAGACACCGCGCGGCCAGGAAGGTGTAAATAGTAAACGCTTAAGTCGGTCTTTACGAGAGGTAACGTAAGTTGAAGTGAAGCGATGCTCCGCGTTGCCTTACCTTCAATGTTTCAGCAAAAAAGTAACTTTGTTGGACGTCGTCTTTCGCCGAGTCGGCCAGGTAAACATTGTTAAGTCCCGTGAATCCCCCGGGGACCCGGCAATGTTTCTCCAGTGCTTGAACCGCCTCCCAACCCCATTCGCGATACTTTGGATCCTTTGTTAGTCGCCACATCACAAAGTACGACTCGAACGTCTGCGGAAAAGTATATCTCGTTTTATCGTCCGCAGATTATACTGGCTTTGTTTTTGTAGGGAATAAGGAAGGGAGGGAGGAATTATTTATTCATGCTCTTTACATGCAATCTCAGCTGTAGATCACATAAACAATTTCTTGGTGGCCGGAAAGAAGGAATGCGCGAATTGTATGAATGTAAAGTAGTTCGAGATAAGCACATTGTTATTTTCCCTCGTGATTTTAAAGTGCGAGATTTTCGGCGCGTCTTCGCTGCTATAAAGAGATCTCTCTAGTAACGTTTTGTCAGTTCACGTTGATTTAGTTACATTTTGAACAAATGGAGAAGCAACTTACCTCAGGTCGCAGGATGTAATATTTTTCGCCGTTCTTTAGACTTCTGGCCTCGTTGCCTTCGATAAAGTGGAAAGCTTCCGGGCCCAATTTTGTAACGCTTCTGTCGTAAGACTCGTGACACGTGTTCGTCAGACCGGCGGCGATGCTCATGTACTTATCGGATAAATCATTTTTCAGCGTCTTAGCTCCCAGAGCGAACATGCCGCCTACAAAACGCATTATTTAACGTTATCGCTCCTGATAGCGCATATTTGTTGAATCCCTAATTTCTTAAAAATATGGTAATGTAAAAAAAGACTTTGTCTTCTTGAAGATGAAATTACTGTCCAACGAATAATTTACGTTCCATGAATTTGGATAATAGTCGATTAGAAACAAAGTTGTCGAAAAAACAAAGTTGTAGAAAATTCGAGGGGCAATAGTGCATTCGAGGCTGATATCGTTTTGGTTATAATTGTGGCATAAAATGTCAATGATAACGTAAAAACTTACCGGCGAAGCAAGCCAGGTGACCCATTTTGTGCTCAAGCCTGTCATATTTTAAGTCTGATACATATACAAGTTTGCCAGGGGACGTCTTGATCATGTGCTCGGTTATAGCAGCTATAGCCTCGTCGTACATTTCGCGTGCTTCAACGTCCTCCTTGCCCGACTGAATCCACGCCTTCAGCAGGTACTCATAGAAACTGTCGCCGAGTCCGCCGAGCGACATATGATCTGCAATTCCCACGAAAATATTTCCGTCGTAAATGAATTCCGCGCGGATTCCGCGAGAGCTCGCGATACATTTTCTCGAAAATATCTTGGAGCCGTACTTTCCGCGTTTTTTATGTTTGCGGATTTTTCCACCTCGAGTCGACTTTTTTGTAACGCAAGCGTTGGGAATAGCTTTCGTGTGAACAAATGCAGGATAAAGTAAATTGGGAATAAATTTGCTGTGTGGAAGAGGTTCATTCGCAATTTATAGGAAGGAATAAGAGATCAGGCCTTGAAAGAATCCTTGTTCAAGAGCTTGATTGTTGACGATAGCGATAAAATAGCTCATGTTTCTCGAGTAAAAAGTTGAATATCTCTCGCATGTTCATCGGTTGTTCTTGTTTCCCGTTATTTTCGCGCTCTGAAGTGGAATTAAAGACTAGCAACTTATGGGGGGCTGGCTTCTCCGTACAGAGGAAAGGTCGTTCCATTGCTTTAAGAGAGATACTGCTTTAAAACAGACAACAGCGATAGTCGCTGCGAGAGATAAAGGAATGCTAGAAGAATCTTCTCCCAGAAAGAAGGGGTTTGTTATCCGCGCTAGAGGGCTACTTCGACCACGTCTGAGGGTGGTGAGACAAAGGGAAGACCTTGATTTCTGCCGGGCTAATTCTTGGGTGCCTTTGGGCTAGCTAAGAACACGGTATCCACTTTATGTGAGGTTCGCGACGAAAGGAAGTACGGCTCGGCTTTATCTCTTTGATCACTATTTCTTGGAGAACTCGGTAAGAACGTTACCGCGAGAGAGTGCGCGCGAGGGTCAGTCAAGCGATGTTAGATTGAACTTTTGTTAAACGAACGTTAATTATAATTTAAAGATAAGAAATCATACTTTTGGCTCTGATGCTTTTGCTTATAAAAAGACAATGGAAATTGCACCGTTTTGTGAAAAAAGAAACGTATGGTTGACAATTAGCGTTGTGAGAGCTCTCCATGTTACATATTGTAGAGGAAATGGTCATATTGTAAAATTTTATTGTTGTCTTGTTCGAAATATCGAATTTATTAAGCGTATCTCAATTCGACGATAGATTTTACCCGCAAAGCTACATCGACGCTCGTAATTAATGAATTTGCGAAACTTGTTGTGGCCATTAACCTCTTCAATGGTGATTGCAAATATAACTGCGCGATTCCCTTCAGGATAGTTTCATTTTTTTCTAAATAAACACATCTAGATTTTTTGTTATTTTTTTTTAATTTTGAAAAGTAGAATACAAAATATATTTAATTTATATTTACTATGAATGAAAATTATACTATATATTTTAATAAAATTAAAAGGAATTTGATATATTAAAGGGTATTTAAATTATGCTCTGGATGAAATGAAATAACGAATAAATAAAGCTTGTGAGAGCCAAGCGTAGTTAATGTAGTGCTATAAAGTGTTATTTCTAAAATGTATGAAATTATAATGTCCATATTTGTATAATTAGAAATAATACTTCATAGCAACACATTAACTATATTTGGCTCTTACAGGCACTATTTATTCATTATTTAATATTTTATCACGGAAATTTCCCGGGCATACTAACTTCGAGGAGTTAATTATATAATTGCATTATTAATTTTGTATTTCGTTCGCGTCTTGTTTATCGAAATATAGCTTCCGTTTGTTCGAGCGGCCTTTCTTCCACGGCGTGTTCGCGATACGGGTGTCCAGCGGAGCGTAGCCGTGCGAAAAACGTGGGAAGGATGTGCGATGAGGTCAGATACCGAACGGTCCGGATGATATATATCCCTGAGGATCGTCATACGTGCAATGAGAAAGTGCGCGAACGCGCGGGGCAGGGCGGAATGGGGCGCGGGGGATTTGGGACCCGAGGCGGAGGATGATAAATGCGATATTCAAGATCGGCTACGACGACAGCGGCGTCGACGGCGGCGCCGTGTCGGGACGACGTCTTTTCCGCGAGGCGGGCGATGCCGGGCGACGCGAAGCGGCGTTATGCGATGCGAAATTGCGAAAAAACGAGACGGCGGCGATCGAAGGACCCTCGTCGAGCCCGCAGCTATGCGAGCACTATTTTGCAATCGATAGCCGTCAGTTTAAAAATCTATTTTGCGCGGCGCGCGCACGAAGATTTATTAAATGTGAAATTATAGTAATAAGCCACCGACTGGCATTTATATCCGTCCGACATCGCTCGGCTGGAGGCGCTCTCCGGTGTCCTCGGGAGGTTTTCGACCGCGGATACAAACGCGAAAACGCCGACTTACACGTTATTTGCATTCATGCCCGCGTATGCACGCATATAAATCTACGCATAAACGCGGACAACAACGACATGTAATCGAGGATACACACAGACAAATATCATTCTATTGCTAAGCTAAGGAGAGCGATTATTTAGTTTACTTTCCCTCTTCGAAGTAATGGTTATCTTCAACGAAGAATATTTTCTTGATAAAACACTCTTAAAAAATATACTCATAAAAAATTTGGAAAAAGCTTATTATCGTGTACTCGAAAGAAGAATTTATCCTCTTTACAAGAGTATTATAAAACTTTATCAAGGAAAAAGTCAATTTTATATAGAAAACTTAATAAGCAAATCGAACTTTTGTTTTAATTTAATGTTCTCGATTAAAATGCTGAACTCACCCGGATTCAGATGTATTTTGAATAAGTTTCATGCTTATGATGAACTTATGATAGATTTGTGGATATAGTTAGTTAGTTTTTATTACCATTCAGCTACTAGATTTGCGGATATATAAACTTATAAAATGTTTGAAGCAAGTGATGTTTACTTAAATAATTTGTGTGTAATAACATAATTGATTTCTCGACGATGATTTTCACGTTTCACGATTGGATTTCGCTCCGAGATAGTCTCATTTATTCTCTAATAAATGAATAAATGGTTTCGCAAATGGAGATCTCCTTTTAACGAAATTTCCGATGTAAGATGTCAATGAATCCGATCGCAGGATATCAAAGTGTCACTTACGTTGACCCCATTTGCCCGTTCTTGGGTGGATATAATTCGGGTAGAGTCCTCTCGGCTTGTCCAAGCTCTTCAGGACCTTTCTCACGTTCTCGACTTTGCTCTTGAACACTGGATTATTCGTTATATCGCTCAAGTAGGTAAACTCGAGATGCATCGTCCCGATCTCGGATAAAATACTGCAACCGCTGCTCGCCCAGCCGTAATTCTTGCTGGCCTGAAAAATAAATGCAACTTTCTAGTTCGAATACATAGCGCGCGTACGCGATATGCGAGAGATAGGTCAAGAGCAATACGCGATTTTTATGAAAGGATTGGGGTGAAGTCCGATGTGCGTTTTCAGGTCATCGAAAGCCAGCGAAAGTTTATTACTTCCGTATTTCTTTTATTTTAAACAGAGAAGGCACAAGAAAGGTATAAATTTATGGCGCATATATAACAAGTCGCAAGCTTCTTTTGATAACTTTAACTCTTCTCGGCTTCTTTAATTTATATGTTTGCAATCAACTATTCGAATGAGATATTCAAGATCAGCTATTTGAGCGGATATTTTTATCAGTGATTCATCGATATAACTATAAGAGCATTGCAGAGGCACTGTCGCGTTGTTTCGTACCCTTTCATTCGCGCCATTCAAAATTGATGGAAATTTATGACGTTCGTGTGTGCCCCGGAGGTGAGGGCGCGTCAACATCCGGCAATTAGCCGCGTCCGTTAAGGGACGCTAATACGAATTATGAAGTCATCAAGCGAGTAGGGTCAATCGGAGCGCACGTGTCGCGCCGTAATTAAATCCGATTCCCTTCCATTTCTCATTTTCTCACTACGCTGCATCCTCGCTATGCGAACGCTTGTCATTTCATTTCAGTAAGGCTGCATGAGAGATTCGCTGCATGCTGCAATTGTTACGCTTTCAATTCGCATCTACAGCGGTGAATCACTCGGCCGCGAGGCAATTTGTATGCCCGATGTAATTATAAAGTTTTTCTCTTTTCGCGCGTTTAGCACTCCGATCGCGGACGTGTTCTTTATCAAGATAGATCGTTATCCGTGTGTCTATAGACACGTTCTCTTCAAATCGTGATAAGATAAACAGTGTGTAAAGACAAGCCAGTGATAGTGCATCGATCTTGTAGTAACGACGATTTGTTGACACACGACTCTCATATCTATCCACAACATTGTTCATGTAATTATCGTCGTGTTATGCAATTGATACATTTATTTTAATAGTGTAGAAAACTTGAAACAACGTTAATCAATAATTTAATACGCGCTATTAGTAAAATTTTGTCTGAATTGTCGATGCCAAGCACGACTGAACTTCTCTTACGTTAACCCTTTATTTGGCAGACTCAATAAAATTAAAGGAGAAAAATTTTTGAGCATTTCAATGAAGTAAATGATGTCTTCTGAAGTTATATATTGTTTTAAAAATCATTTTCAGAATACATTTTCAACGATTTTAGTCATTTCCAATGACAAAAACTGAAACTACTGAGACGCCGACGAACAGAACAGATGACTAGATGTTCTAAAGCAACAATGCTAAATAAATGCGTCTATTCTTGCTTATAGATTATGAGAAATCGATATTGCTTAACAGCAACATTGCCAAATAAAGGGTTAAAATCAATCGACTGCTGTCGCGACAGAAACTTTTCTCTTTAGTTAGTTGATATGGATAATCGCGCTTTTGATCGCTGTCTCATCGTCGTATGATCGGGACGGATCGAGAGATAAGAAAAAGACAAAGTAATTGGAATATCGTTCATCATAGGGGAAGTCAAAGGCCGCGTATCCGCCTCCTGCGGCCTCATTATCCATCCAATTAAGAATTTGCATATTAATCACACGCCGCCATTTCGACAGACGTGACTTGATGGAATCGTTTCAATTAAAGCGCAACATTGTTGCCGCGCACGATGCCTGACAAGAAGCGTGCAAAAACGGAAAAGCCGCAAACACACGTCTGAGATAGCCTTTTAAATTATAATTGTATGAGCGAGCGCGTACGGTAATGGTAGTGTACTTCCCACTTTTATCGCGCGTTTCATACGTGAATGGACCAACGTATCGCTAATGAAAGGATCATAGCAGTGAAGTTTATGGGAGTTTACTATGTACACAAGATTATCATATCATATTTCCATTGATAATTTGACGCGTAAGTAAATTTTAATAATTTCATCTGCAGATCCACGTGGATATCCCCACGTTGAATATTTAACTGGAAACAATTCCATCGTGAACTGTGATTAACGAAGACAAGAGTTCACAGGTGCTCAGATCGATGTCTGCACCAATCAGTACTTTACATACAGTGCACGGAGAAAAAGATTTGGTTGGATTAACGAAATATTTGGAAAAATGAACGAACTAGAATTCTATGTTCGAGTTACTAAAATTCTAGTTAATCAAGATTTCTGATCAATCAAATTTAGTGGCTGTTGCTTATTGCAATTTCTAATCTTCAACTTTAAAAAGATCATCTTGATAACAAAAATGACTTTTTGTTATCAAAGATAACAAAAAAAGACAAATTTCTCAGACAAATTTCTCAGACAAATTTTTTTCTCTCGTTTTAACTTTTGGGCTCGGCCGTCGGCGGTTTTGGTGCAGCCTGTATAAGTTTGTAATATTATATATCCACGATTTCTTGTTTCATTCTCCAGTACAGTAAATGAGAGGGTTTTTTTCTGGGGAGGGAGAGACGAACTAAGTTAATATCGAAGTACATCGAACCCGTCCCGAGTGCGTTGCGTCGGTAGAAGCAGCGGCGAGTTATGGCTACGAAAAGCCTGCACTTACCCCGGTATGGAGGTTGATGAGGGAATGAGGAATTCCGGTTTCCGTCTGGAAGGCAGGCAGCATCCGTTCGCCGAGCTGCGCCGCCTTATCCCGGAACATCACGTCCCCCGTGAGAGCGTAGCAGGCGAGCAGACTTCCCATGAAACGAATATTCGTCTCGAACAGCGATATTTCGGAATTCTGAAACAATGCCCGGGCGAAACCCTCGAATTAATCAAATGCGCTGATCGTTTAACCGCGCGTGAGAAAATTTCCGTAACAACGCGCGATTTTGCATACGCACACACACACAACATACATTCAGTACATTCTCATGTCTCCACATTCGTTTGAGTAGAATATTAATGTGCCCGTTATAGAGCTAGATATCTCGTAAATTTATTACAGTTTTTAATACAATTTCATACATATATATTGTTTTAATAACCACAGATATTTGCGCTCCAACGTGAATCATTGGAATGGAATGCAATTGGAATTACTCCGAAAGCTTAAACGTCGTCAAGCGAATTGTGCATGTTGTGATATCTTTTCGATAGCGATAATGGTATAATATTTTTCGGCGTACAATAGATTACTCATCGACGGTAATCCGGTTTACTTGTCACCGGCGTGACGGCCCGCATGCGGTACGATGCGTAAACAGGACGCGACGCGAAAGCTCGGTGGCATTAGCCGCGCCACGAAATGGAGAGAAACGATCGTTAGCGGTTTTCGCATCGTGCCGGGGCACGTCGCGGAAGAGCGGGAAATTTCTTTTTTTTCTCTCTCTTGTTTTTTCCTTGTTTTTGTTTTTCGCGCTCGCCGCCTCTGCATCGCGCGTGCACTCGCGTTTTTCGGTTTTCGTCATTCCCGCGAGCTTTTCGCGGCAAGACCTCTCTCGCGCCAGTATTATCGTTACACACAACACAGTCGCAATTAAAGTTTTTCCGAGCGAGCACCGATGCGAGTGCGGTCCGGCCCGACCTGGCTTGGCCTCGCATCGCGCGCAGGATGTGCATCGCGACATTCGTGTTCCCGTGATTCAGCGCGGATAATAGCTGAAAGCAACATACGGAGATTCTGATCGTGGTTACATTAACCTTCCCCCTCTGCCCCTCCTCCCCCGAGTAGTATGTGAGGTCAAGGGACGACCGCATGTCCAGCGATAAGAATTCTTTGTTTCTCTGTGCGAAGCACGTACCTTGCAGATTCTCAAATTTGCGGTGACGGAGGAATTGACGACCAATTTGTTCCAATTTTGCGTCCGCCGTCGTGCCTGTTATTCGTACATAAATATCGCTAGTTTTTGGGCGGTATTACTGCGAGAATGCCGCGGACAACACCAACATCGAGAGCGCGCCTGAAAGACACCGACATAGAAACGTCACGATTCATAAAAAGCCGGAATGCGTATTGCGCGGCTTATAAAATCTCACGTATGCGACGGGTATAATGAGTGTTGCTGGGGAAATACAACATACAGACACACGTATGTACGCACGTGTGCACGAACGAAACAGTCGAGATGTAATTTTCGAGATGCCTGTGCAAAAAACGCTCTTTTTACAAAAGAACGAAATATAATTAGACGGCTCAGGCGTGTGGCATCCCGCAAACGCGCCGTGCAAAAATTCTAGATAGTAAAACAAAGGCGGCGGCGGCACGCGTATTTTATATGCGCCGGCATGAGCGCCCGGCGACGGTAACCGAGTTAAAGAAGGGGCATGGCCAACGTTGCGAGAGTGTCGCCATTATCAAAGCCCTAGTCGTCATTCGGAGTTACGCGTCTGTGTAATTTGCGCTGTTTTCTCGCTGATTAACTGAGCGAAAGAACCCGGCGTACTTTCGCGCTTTTAGTTCGAACTTGTTGACATGCTCCGGCGAGGGTCCGTGCGAATCGAAAACCGACGGACGCGACCGTAAAATTGGTTCTGAGGTCGAAATTACCGCGACAAGATTGAAAGCGCTGTATCGCTCGGCGAGCCGGACGAATTCTTCGCGCGTGACAACGCGCCGCGCATTCGTTAATCGTTCGGCAGTTAGCGTCGTAATTAGGAGAATCTGAAAACGCTCCGGCGCGGAAAACGGCGTGGAGATAATGAAGCGCCGCGCGTAAAAGCGGCTAAATTGGCGCTGTTCTCACGTTTGCGAGGTATTATGCCGCTAATTGACATTTATGATGCGCGCCGCGATAGGAAGTACCGTGGGAAATTTGTAAACGATATGTTTTCGCGCGTCGATTACACTCCGGTGTTAAACGCTCCGCGCGCGTGAACTCTGAAATTACAAATTGCGTGTGTGCTTCTCCATTTTTAGATGTGCGCGATTCGCCCGGGTGTGATGTCGCGTTTATGCAGTTAATAAGTTCGACGCGCGGTGTTATTCCAGGCATTAGCGCTAAATGCCGCGTTTCAAGAGACTAATTCCCGTGTGAATTTCTTTTCGCTCGATGTCTCGCGATATTTTTTTTTTTGAAACATTTTCACACGCGCGGGGAAAAAAAGAAGCGAGCGTGTGGCTCATGTATTAACCGGCCGATCTTTGGTTTATGAGGTCGTTAGCTTCAAAGGATGAGAGCGATGTTATATCCCGGTCATCGCATGTGTGTGTGTGTGTATGTTGTACTGCTCTGCCATCCTTTCCAGTTCGTCAGGCGTGGTTGATTGACTCGCTTACCTAGAACTTGATGACGCTACGTTCTTATTAAGGCCTCTCCTCGTTAAGGAGCAGGTGTTTGGGTAACGAATAACCAGATTCCGCCTTTCGGCGATGGGATATTGAAACGCGTAATTAGACAATTTTGTAATGCCACGACGACTTTTCTGAAGACCGTGAAACGAAGGCGTAGATGGGAATAAAATTGCCGTCCGACATTTCTATTATGTTTAATGACTGATACTGATGGACGGTGACGTGTACCTAAGTGGATCACTCGAATATCATTTTTCCTTGTCCCTTCTCATCTCTATTCTTCCCTCTCTCTTTCTCTCGTTGATTTGCCCGTCGCTTCTTTTTTTTTTTTTTTTTTCATCTTCTACTCTTTGCGGCAATGTCCATCTTCCTGCGGTAACATTTCATGTTTGAATTAGCAAAACCGCTAATAACGCTGATAAGTTTTAATGAAAACGTTATATTTCACATGTGTGCATTGATATTCACAATCGCATGCGCACGCGATATAATTCGTACAGTCATATTCCTCTCGCGTACTTGCATGCGTGCTATAGCGCGCAAATCCAATGAGTCGTTGGTATTTTACACGCGAGTCTTTGATTACACACTGCTACCCCTTCAATTCAGGTATTCGAAACATGGCGTGTCTAATGATCTTAAAGCCTCACTGGAAATAAGTATTGGATAAGCGTATCTCTTTCTTTCATTCCTTCGATCATCATTTGTACGAATGATGAATGACTTTGCCAGAGCGCGATATAATAGATCCGTAATCTTTTCTTTTTCCTTTCGCGCTTATTATCGTAATCTGGCAAAACGAATGGCGTCTTTGAGACATATATAATTAGAAATACGAGAAGTCTAATACTCAAGAGAGAAAAAAAAATATTCAAGGGACATTCTGCCGCATCTTTTTAGATTCGGTGGTTCGAATCAATCTGAGATATGTAGAATTTCAAGACTAAAATCTTAAAATCCTAAGATCATTTTTGTGAACAAAAGAAGACAATAGTCGCGTTAGCTTGAGAACTTGCGAAACGCCATAATCTCGGCGTAATCCGGCAAAAGTATTGTTTGTCGTATCGGAGCGCAGGAAATTGTTGGCGGCCGCGCGATGTAGATTTATAAAGAAGCGGGCTTTGCGCGTCGCCGGGGCTGTTATTTCACGGTTCTCCGATTCGATTCCCATCTGGTTGATTCCGGGGGTGGAGTCGTTGGTTGAAATAAAGCCGGACAAGAAGACGCCGGCTAGGCGTCACGCTATTTTCCACTAGCTCAGCGGCACGTCGGACAATCTCGGTCTCTCCTAATCTCGCCCCCCGTCCTCGCCACTTCGTAGACACGTTGTCAGTCCTGTGTAAGATTTCCTATCGGTTCGCGTATCTCTTTGCGTACAATGGCCAATGGGCTGCGGGCAATGGGCATTCCGGTGCGAAACGTAATCATGGCCTCGTAAATCGCTGCTCGTTCATCTCCCCATCACGCCGGGAAGTCAACGTCGCTTGAACGCACCGTGAAATCGCGATGCACACGGTAACTTCCCAATACCGTATCGATTCTTACGGGAGAGAAAGAGAGATGCAATGTGCTCTCAATCAAATAGCGCGTTACGCGAAAACCCGTGTAGAAACTTCGTTTTGAGTTCGCCAGACATGTACATTTGCGCATATGGTGGGTCACAAAACGGCTTACATACAATAAAATTGCTTGGTATTTCAAACTGATAGTTTCCCAAATTAAGAGTCACTAATATAATAATATATAATAATATAATATTATATATAATATATATAATATTATATATATATAATAGTTATATATTATATATTATATATATAATATATAACTATATATAATAATATAATTAATTAAATACTTAAATAATATCAATAATTAATAATAATTGGCCACGTATATACAGCATGAAACTTTACAGCTATTGTAAAATTCGTGAACCTGATTTGTGTATGTTCTTGATCTTGACTGAATCTAAGAGCATGTACTAATTAGATTCACGAATTTTATAACAGTTGCACTTTACAACAATCGTTTTCTTTGCTGGATGCAGCCATTAATAATATAATTACTGGGCTCATCACATATATACGCATAGTAATGATTCTCAATTTTGACAGTTTGTTGAGCTTTCAACTTCATTGCGTCTAAACCATTTTGCAATCCACTGCCACCATTTGTATATTGTGTCGCGAATAAACGCGACATTTCCTCAGACGATTTTGCAGGTACGAGAGCAGCCCGACATTTTCGAGACGAAATCGGACGCGCAATTAAGAGAAAGAGCGAAAATAAGGGAAAGGCAATAAAGCCGGCTGCAATTTCGCCGCAACTCCATTCTATCCGTTACGTGTTGCGCGCACCGAAACGAGCCGCACAAGTTCGGTAACTTAAGGCCTCTCTCTCGTTAATGTAACACGACCTTAAGCACAGGTCACTGTTCGGCCTCGTGACCGCGTCGCTCGTGGAAGTTACGCGACTTTGGAAGGATGAAATTACACCGCGGGGGAGAGTAACGCGTGCGGATGAAAAGGAGAAACTGGGCGTTTCCCCGCGATAATTCGTGCTCGCTCGTCATTTTCATGTTGCTTCTATCCGTTCATTTCCCTTTACGTTTCTGCCCATCAATTTTTTCTCCGAGATTCTTACGCTCGTTAATTAAATTGCAATCTATCGTGGCGAATCAACCCACGGCGAGTTCCTCGGGAGTCGTTGCGTTGGAATCGGTCATTGCGACAGGTCGAGCTTGCACCGTCGTATTTTCTCCTCACTGCCAGATACCGGCGGGATTAACACCTGCGTCACTGTAGCATTCGAGTTGCAATCGCGATATTTTATGGATTTCCTTTACGGAGAAGTCGCGCGCGCGGAGGCGCGCGAGAGGAGAACGAAATTCGCGGATGCAATTATCGGCCGTGGTTACGCGGCTGCATTACGCGAGACACGTTATAAATTCGATCGCGGGAGAGAGAGAAAGAGATAGGGGGGCGGGAGAGTCTCGCGTGCTTTTGTGCCACTTGTAAAAGCAACTTGTACAAGCCTGTACAGCTTGGCAGATAGTCACGGAAGCGCTCGCGCGAGTAACAAGTTTCGACACGCGTTTATACACGCCCCAGTTTCGCCGAAACCCCCGCGATAGTTCGCCTTCCTAGGTCAGCCGATGCAAAGTAACAAAGGAAGTAACGATGGAATTTTCCCAGGTAGGGGTCCGCGCTTATCTCGCGAAACTGCCGTGAGGGCGAAAAAGCGTTGCGCCCGCGATAGTGCCGCGGGTGGTTGCGTCGCCGTTGCATGTTGACGAGGAGATGATTCTCGGGGTAAATTCGTGACTATCCCGCGGTCTCGCGTCAGTCTTCTGCTTTTTGCTTGTACCGGCAAACACGATGAGACACCTCGACAACGAGGAACTTGTCGAGAAATTTCAGTAATCAGAATCGAAGGGTTCGCTCGTTAACGCCTTAATTACACAATCCTGAATATCTTATATTTCACGGTGTCCCGCGGCTCGCCCCCACTGTTACTCAACATCCCTGTCGAACACAAAACCGAGAGAATCTTGACGCATTACGCACGTTCCTTGCTCGACAGTCTATCCCTCACGGTGCTACCGCACATTCATTACGTAAGGGATAAGACGAAGGAGGTTTTGGTTGGCAGAGAACGTATTTAACGAGACTGGCGGAGAATGCACTAAGAGATCGTAGATCTCTCGGCTGGGAGAGCTACGGAGGTCGAAAGAAAGAAGCCTTTCTCTCTCTCTCTCTCTCTCTCTGTCTTCCTCCTTCCGCTTTGTTCGTTTTATACTCGATGGAAACAGTCGTCCATAGTGGGCTTCTTGATGATCGTATGAGAAAAACTCGATTAAGGAAAAAAATAATAGAAATATATAATATAGAAATATAATAATAGAATACTTGCCGAAATCGTACTGGTCTCCTAAATCGTACCCCATCAAAATCGTATCTGATTTTTTTAAATGTTTGTAGCATGCATAGCATAAGATATGATCTGAAATCTTTTTGTTTGAAATTGTTTTGTTTTTTGCGTCCTATTGTTCATTTATTTCTCATTTTTATTGTTGGATGTCATTCATATTTAATAATAATAGAGAAATTGAGCGGTACAATTTAGGAGACCGAGACGATTCCGATAAATCCTCTATATCATCAAATATCTCTTTATAACAATAATCTCTCAGATATTTGTTATCTCGTGACTAGGTGTCGCATTTTTGCATATAGTTATCTATCTGTAAATCAGTGCAATTAGCCAACAGCAATTTTTATTTTCTCGTCCTTAATTAGAAATGAAGCTTACACTCGTAAAGTAAATAGATAAGCATTCTTGACTTTCCTTTTCATACTTCACTTTGCCAAGTTCTAATAAGTTTTATCTTCGGCATATTTATCGGAATGCGAATACGCTTCGCAATAGAAGAAAGGCTCGAAAAAATTGAGTTCAATTAAAATCGGACCGGTTAGAGTAGTGTAAATCGAGGGCGTTGTTATACAAACTAGTTGAGCTGGCAGACAACCGTGAAACACGCTGGAGAACGCGCTAATTTCTGCCCCGGCGCACCCGAGGAGATTTGTGCGCGACGAGTCGCATGCGTTCTTCGTACTTGCCGAGGTGATGCCGATAGTGCCTCTAGCTAGGGAGCTGCTCGTGGAATAGAGACATTACGCTCGTAGTTTAGATAACAAGTACCGCGCGGTAGCGGTGGATGTCGAAGAAGCCCGCTCAAGTATCCGCGCTCTTGTCGGGGCTGAAATCACAATTTACAACGGAACTCCTCCCTTCGTGATTCAAAACGATTGAAACGACCAATCGCTCTCGAAATGCGTCTTTAAATCGATGTGGTCCTTCGCGCGATAGAATCGATTGTATTTGATGCGTATCGAAACGTATATTTCGTATCCTTTCTCTTGATTATCTGATATGATTCGATCTAACGAAAGACAAACAGAATCATAGAGAATGTTTAAACTTGAACTATTTATTCCGATTATCTAGAGAGGTATATTAACATGGGCTTACGTAGATACACAATCAAAATAAGATAAGAATTTCTGAAGCTCCAGTTAGTTCCTCGCTTTCTAACACGACGTGCTACTCCTCATGAAAATATAAGAATTCTCGTTGATTATATTCGTCGATTATCGCGTATCCCAATTCCGTAATTACGACTGTATGGAGTAAATCACCATAAAGTACGATAAGGATCTGCGGATGAGCTGCATCAAATAGACACGTATCTCTTGTAAATAAAAGCAATGGAAAACGATTTTTTTGCGTATCTTTCATGGATAGAGTACTTTGTTGTTTTACCGAAAGAAAGCTTTCGAAAGATGGCACGTAAAGACCACCGACTTTCAAAGTAGAACTCTTCATACTTCTCTGCATTATTAGCAGGAGGCATTTTTGCATGTATAGCGAAGTCGTGTACCATTGGGTGTTGCATCTGCAACATAGATTAATTTGTAAATTCAATTAATAGGTCACTCATAATTATTGATTTCGGGGATAAATACACGTTTTCTTTTTTAACCTAAACTTACATTGTCTTAAACACGATTTCACTATGATTTATTATTTTCTGACCGACGAAATTGTTGGAGAACACGATGATGAGATGTAGGAAAAGGAATAAAAACGTCAAGGCTGCATTAGTGACATCACTCAACGAAATGTATCGGCTGAACTGCGGAACTTGCAGCGTTAAGACACTCATTACGTGTTGTCAACAATCAGTATTTAGAGAGACTCACTTGATACATATTAATGCTTAACGATATGATAGCCAGAGGAATAAAAATGAGATATATTATTCCGCATAAAGATCTCAAGAAATCGCTGGATCTTGAACAGTAATAAAATGGTATATCGTTTTCGAATGTTCAGAGATTGTTAACTTGTAAATAAATGTTGGCAACCGTAATATTATTTTGGGAAATGTTATATATATATATGTGTGTGTGTGTGTGTGCGCGCGCGCGCGCGCGCGCGCGTGCGTGTGTGTATGTATGTGTGTGCAATATATTTATATGTATATATAAAATACGATACTGAACTGGATAGCTCTTAGGTGACTATCGATGACCTCCACGATATTTTTATGATCGTTGACATTTTTGGCAAGATCTAAGGAAAACTTCTGGCTTTTGTTGACAGCACGTTCAATTCGGTAACTGGAATAATGCAATAGCGTGGTCACGTCGAATCAAGAGTAACATCTTTTGTTCCTACTCGTTCATTATTAGTACTTGACGATTTGTTACCTGGTGATTACAAACATTGCGTGTATGTGTTGCAAACACGCTATAGTTAATATTTCTGCGGCTAATATCGAGTTAGAAGTGACGAACATTAGCAACAACATGTATAACTGTAGTAAATAGGTAAACTTCCTCCAAGGAACATAATACTCTATCGCGAATGGAGTGTCAAACATCATTCTGCGCGATTCGTTTAACGGCATTACGAAATCGAGAATAGTGGGCGAAAAGTATATCATCATAAATAAACATATGCATGTATATGAAAATGCTGCAACATACACAGTCCAATGTTTTTCCTACTTTTATTCTTAGTTTCGCGTTGTTTAATACACCGCAGCTTAATTTTGTTACTCACTTAACATAACAATTGTAATCATTTTCCCGACTTCAGTGTACTTTTGTATAATTTGACGTTCTTTCGCGTCTTTTAAAGTTTCCCAATCGATTTGCATTTGTTTCATAAGTATTCGTACCTAGAATGGCACGTCAACGATTTATAATTTTGGTTATATCTGAATAAAAAAATCTGATAGTTTGATATAGTTTATCGTCGTGAGTTTAATCTAGTCTATTAGTTCATAGAGTTTACAGCTTACTTTAGAGACGTTAAAAAATGTTGTGTAATATTTGCATATGTGAAATATGGTAGCAATGGTGACGGGGAAAATATTTAAAAGAACATCCAAACTAAATTTTTTAACGAAGAGCGGTGACATCTGAAATTATATCCACATTTTTTACTGAGGATCAGAAGAATGTGCATAAACGTTTGCTTGAGTCACATATATAAAAAGATTAGTTCACTATCCAACGGATGGTTTCTAATATAAAATAAACAAATAAATATTAAGTCTTGAAACTTCGTGTAAAATCAGATACTTACAAAATATATTTTAAATTAAACATTCGTAATTAGATTCATATTTTAAGGAAAGACTAGTAATATACATAATACATTGCAGCGAGAGAAAAGATGACATATTGATATAATATAATATGCAAACTATCAATTATGTAACACAATTAACGTAAAAAAACAAAATTAACGTAAAAAAATAACGTAAAAATATAACACGTAGTATATCACGTAATTACGTAAAACAAGTAACTAGTTCTGAATAAATACTGCAGTTTTGAAGTAGCGTTTGCTCGATCGGACGTAAACGGCGAACCTGAAAAATTGCGGCAGATATGAGAAAGGGGGTCAGTAGTATGCACCGAATATATCTCGCGCATGGCGTCTGATATGGCCATAGACCGAGACACGATAACAGTATTCGACCAGTTCTATAATTCACACTGAAGTCCATGTCTGCGCTCGGTACCCGGAATACTGTTCTATCGACAATTTGCACGAGGCGGCTTCTCCGACGAGTGTCTTCTCTCTAATGTTTTTTATTTTATTTTGCGTTTGGTATTGTCTTTCCGAGAAACGCTAGAGACATTGCGAGTAGCGTTAAAGAAAAGTATCTTCGCCAGAAGAATAATGCGGTTGTTGTTTCGCGGTTTCGCCCAAGAGACAATTTTACTATTATTATGCATTATACGATAATGCAAAGAAGTAATAATGGAAGGAGAAATACGGCGGTTGACCGAATTGTGCGTAAATAATGTATTATCACCGATGGTATTGGTATACACGCAATTGTCTTCGTTTTATTCCGACGCAAGCGCCTTTGCATTCGCTTCTCATCCCTGCAGTCGTTCGTCTGCATTTCTTCGTTAGCGTGTGGAGAGGACTCGCGTTGTCTCATTGTCTTGGAGATCACCGTTATAGGAGAGCTCAGTATCTCGCGATGTTACCGTTAATATAATTGACAACGCGAGGATAACCAACGTTTTAACGATAATACGCGTCTTGCGCAGAAAGAATTAGCCAAAAATTGAGGAATAACACAGGTAACATAAAATCATGTACTTTATATTCATTTTCTATCATGTATAATAATCGATACAGTTAATTGAACCAGTTATTTTTCTCTTAGTGTTACATTTGTAATGTGAATTACTTGCATTGTGAAGTATTACGTGCTCGACTGGTGACGAGTTTTATTTTGTGAACGCGATTAACTGACGGAATGAATAACTACGAAGTGTGTACAAAACCGACAATGCTCGTGAGCTAAAACAGAAGTCTATTCGTGGCAGATCTACGACGATAAGATGTAAACTTGATAAAAGACAGGCCGTTTTTCTCCTTTTAACTTTGATCGATGCTTACCGTGGCGAATCTTCCTAACGATGGCACGAACAAGCCACCGATCATGATCGTGCAATGTCGCATACTTCTTTGCATTACGAACAGTAGCAACTTCTGTGCTCTCACTAGAACCGTGTACTGTCACGCGTTGTAGCTAAAAAATCCACGTGACCGTCATTCGCGATTGAAGCGTCTCGCTTAGCGGATTCGTGACACGTCAAATGCACGCGTTATTCACGTTTTGTAGAAAATCTCGTCGCTGTGATCGATCAATTTTTGTCTTGTGTAGATACAGAAGAATATGTTGCAAAAGCGACTCAAAACGAACACGACGATCGTCTCGAGACAGTCATCCGTCATTATTAGCCAAGAGAGCTTGCGACACACGCGTGATCAGTTCGCGATGAATGCAAATCTCGCGTGTTTACAGACACGATCTACGACGCGCGCGCGCAACTTCGGTACACGCAGGTGTTACGTCGACAACATCTGCTTGCGATATGTTAATCACTCGATTTCGTCAGCATCAGTAAGTGTATCGGTAATTATTCACGCGGTAGAGATTAACGCTCAGCAACAGTATACCTAGTGCCGCCATACACGCGAAATTCATCTTGGATATTTCCATAAATCTTGAATAACAATATACATTGCATGAATACATGTCGTTAATCACACTGTTGATGATTGCGCGTACTAAAGATTTGTACGATTCCTTTTTCGCGGATAGAATTGCATATTTTATAACAACGGAAGGTTATGTCGGGGAGAAAGGTCAGAGAAAGGAAATCATAACTAGAGAGAGAGAGAGAGGTAATGAAGGTTTTCTATCGATTAAATCAGCAACGATTACGTATTCAATTGCTTTCCTGTGCACATTAACAGTACTGATTATTCCGTGACTATTAAACTCCTCTTGGTGGCGGATGCCGCGTACCACGTTACACCCTCGATGCAGCGCTCGTTCTATGAGAGCTGAAGCGAGAGTTGAAACGTATAACGTGACTAGGAAGTTTCGAACGTTATCTCTGTCTAAATTATCTGAAAATTGTCGATCAGTATTAGCATCTTAGTTCTTTAACCAGGTCATTTTTTAATCGTATACTTGAATCGCGGAAGAGGCGGAGTAGAGAAATATAATTAAAGCAGATGCGACAAAACCGCGCGTGCACACAACTCTCGTTATTTTGCAAATAAAATCGAGCCAACTTGTATTCCACGTTTAAAAGGTCGAAGCTCTTGAGTATATATCGATACATACGATTTGATAAATTTCTCAAAATTAGAATACCATTCGCCATTTGTAGGGAGGAATGAGTGAGTGAATGAGAGAGAAGCTGCTTTATCATTTCAGAGTCTTAGAGCTTCTCTTTCACTTTTACTAAAGTTTCTCTCTCACTTCCACTCATGTCACTCCTAAAAGTAGCCGACATGATGAGAATAAATCAGGAATCATCATCATGCTTTGCCCTAACTTTTATTAGAGAAACTCCATGTACAATTATCGTTCATCAATTCTTTGTTTTCTTTCTGAGAAATTTTCCCGAAGAGGAATTTCGTAACGCGGTGCGCTTACATCTTTTATGTTGAATGCACAGAATGTTGTATTTCATCGTGAAGCCCATCCAGGGAATGTTGTACGCGAGGATCTTCAGAAGAAGATCCACGCTGTACTTCGTCGTAATGAAGACCATAAGCTGAAAGCGATATTTTCCTCTAGCCATTTTTACTTTCGCGTTACCAGCGATTTCTCCCGCTGGAGGAGTAACTTCGCGAGTAGCTTCGACGAAGTTTTTCAAAACACACAGAAATACGAAAGTTTCGAGCTAGCGTCGTTGAGCTTTTTTGCCGAAATATTTTAACGTTATAACTTTCGTGCAACTTTTAATCATGAGCGCGGAACGGAACTCTTACCTTTAGTAAAAATAATTATACACTCAATCTTGCAGCAGTAAGATTGCTAGTTTTCACAACAAATAGCAATTCACGTTGCATTTTTTTTTTCTTTTATCATCTTTGTTCGCGGCAGCATCCTTTATCGCGCGCGTTATAATTCCACATTTTCGATATTTTCGTATTTCGTATCGAAGTGTTGCGCTACCGATATCGCGCAAAATTATAATAACATATTCGTTGCAAATTATAACTTTAATTTAGGTTCGCTTATACTGAGAAAAAAAACAGTTGAATCGATAAAATCGGCAATTACTCGCTTTCAAAGAAATATTGTGTCTGTTGAACAAATTACGTGTTTGTGCAATAAATTGCGTTGATATAATTACTAATCAAATCGCAATTATTAAACCGATTATTCTCCTCGCAGCAACGATTTATAATTCGTGTAGTTGACTAAACGTTTGTTTGAATTTTGTTCATTCAAGCAAAGTTTCATTAACTCAACCGCTTTTTTTCTTAGTGTAGCGTGAGTAGAAGCGTCGGTGAGAAGAGTACTTTATTACTTGCAGAGCAGATGATCGATTATTTTTCCCCAGCATATCGTCGAGTATGTTTTGATGTTTGTTTCTACCTTACGTTCGATCGACGCAGGCGCAATTTCAAAGTCGCTTTCGTGCACTTTCGACGCCTCTTCATTCCTATTCGAGACGCGAAACGCCGCGGTGCTTCCTTCCATTTCCTCGTCATTTGTGAATTGAAATTGTGGCGTGATAGTAACGTGAAAAAGAAACGCTACGCATCAGTGAAAGTATTGTGCACTATTTCTGACGAATATCATGTGAAGACAAATTTATTTTGGATTTTGCATCGAAACTATGAATTAGTAAGACGTCATAAATGTTAAAGCATTTGTATTTACGCAGTGTGATGTTTTACGATGTGATTGCACTCGAAATGGATCCCTTTAGAGTGGATTTCTTCGCAGAAACTTTATTTTTCTTTGCACATTTGCTCAGAGCAGCTATTTAATCCGCGAGTATTTTCCTTTCTTTGCGTTCATTTCTTTTAAAATACCTGGACGCTTTTTTCCCCGTGTTTTCCATGCAATGTTTTTAATGGTGTTAGGGGATGGAATGAATAGGAACGTGGAAAGTGCACTCTCCTAGTGACGTAGAAAAAATACGGACGGTAGTGCGTTTATCAAGGACGACAAAGTGACAATACAATTAATAATCATAGTGATTCTATCTTCGGACATTATAAATACAATGCACGTATATTTTTCTAGAGAGAAAAGTTTTTTATCATAAAAATTCCGTTTATGTCCTCGCATTTTAATCATGACTCATCGTGTTTTAATATTAATTACATCTCAATTTTATCAAACAACCAAATATTTTTAATAATCCGTTGCTTTGTTAAGATCAGCATAAATATAATTTAAATATTTCAAATCACTTTTGAGGTATTAAAATGAGATATTAAGTGACAAAAATGATCGAAGACAGCTACTTGCTGAAGTTTCTCTGACTTTTGTATTTACAAAAAAAGTGAAGATTGAACAGAGAAAAAAGAAAGAGAGAGAGAAAGAATAATGTTACGTACATATTTCCATTTATAAATTGTTCAATAATAAGTTACAGTATCATTAGTATCATCATTTTATGATGAATTCCAAATGCTATCGACTATCTACGCGGATGAATCGGGATTCTCGGCCATCGACGATAAAGATACACAATCTTCCGTTTTGATCGTTAATTAAGATTTGACTGTTTAACTCGAACATTCTTCATTCTCTTGCAGAGCCTTGTTATGACCGATTATTGCGTTAATTATATTATATTTGTGTGGAGCACCGTTTTTTGACTGAAGTAGGGATACGCGATTCGTAGTTGACTAACAAGTAAACCTACCCAAAAGGTACACTCCGATTTTTTTCTAATTTGGCACAAATGTAGAAATACAAAAAATATTTAAATCATATTTTTTCACTTTGGCCCACTTTGAGTTTTACGGGTAGTTTATAGCTTTTTAATATTCTCATTCCTATCATCCACAAAATACAACAAAAATACATAAGAAATAAAATTGAATACAAGATATAGTTAAATAATTTTAACAAAACTGGCATAGCTGAAACACGAACCATTCTAAATTTCTTTAGTCGAGATTCTAACCGAAATATTTTAAATCTGTGCCAAATTAGTCAAAAATGGTTCGAATCTCGGCCAAACCGAGAGAGAAAAATCCGGCAATTTTAATTAAAATTTTAACAAAATCGGCATAGCTGAAACACGAACCATTCTAAATTTCTTTAGCCGAGATTCGAACCGAAACATAATCTGTAACAATCTGTGCTAAATTAGTAAAAAATGATTCGAATCTCGGCCAAGTCGATAAATTATTTGTATAAATAATTTTTTCAACTTTTTACATGTTGTTTAAACATTTTATTATTTATACAAATAATTTTAACAAAATCGGCATAACTGAGATACGAATCATTTTAAATTTCTTTAGCCGAAACTCCAACCGAAATATTTCAAATTTATGCTAAATTAGTCAAAAATAGTTCGAATCTCGGCCAAACCGAGAAATTATTTGTATAAATAATTTTTTTTTAACTTTTTACATGTTTTGTTTAAACATTTTATTATTTCTACAAATAATTTTACATATTTGACTTTAATATTCATAATCAGCAAGCCAAAAACATCTATATCTTGTATTCAGTTTTATTTCTTATGCATTTTTGTTGCACTTGTTGATGATAGAAAGGAGTGAGAACATTCAAAAGCTATAAACTGCTCGTGAAACTCAAAGTAGGTCAAAATGAAAAAATATGACCTAAATATTTTTTGTACTTCTACATTTGTGCCAAATTAGGACGAAATCGAAGTGTAACTTTTGGGTAGGTTTACTTGTAAGTTCTCTATGCGAAAACTATAAGATAATATATGTTAATAATAATTGCAAATACGTTGCTTTGATATAGTATTTTCCTTCCAGCTGACAAAACTGAATTTCCGCGAGCATCTCTACTTTTTTAATTCTTACGACCTCAGTCATTATTTTATAATTTTAAACAATGCGGAACAGTATTGTATGTACGTCAAAAATGCTATTTCCGTGGCCAATACCGTAGTCATCTCGGCCAAAAGCGCCACTGTCATGTGTGCTCTTCTCCAGTTTGCTTTTCTGTACTTTTCTTTCTGGATAGTACATCCATAATAGTCTTCAACAACGAGACACATATATGTATATCATTTCGTTAAGTGGTTAAATACGATGATAATACCAAAGAGATAGAATTCCCCTTTGCCAGAATTTCACGAATGCGTTCTCACTATTCTGCGCTAAAAATTTTTCAGTTTCTTTTCGAGTATCGTGGAAGAGACTGCTACACGTTAATTCTACAGTTAAACGGTCATCCCTCCTGTAGGTAAAATATAAGTAACGTTGCATCGAACAAAATTATATGGAGACGAAACTGGGTATATAAACAACAAGTATGTTCGGACGCGTGCGTGCAAATTGAGAAAAGATGAGCACTCTAATTTTTTTTTTGTAATAGTTGCTGCTCTGTTATGCGAATAAATCATCTATGTTGACGAAATAAGCCTATGGCTTGTTTTTGTCAAGGAAAAGAAGACATAAACATTTAATAATTAATGTTATAGTAAGAGATTCAAAGTTACTTGTAATGAGAAGCAATATAATTGTCAAGCAATATAGTTTTTTTACTAAAAAAATTTTTTTATTTATTTCTTAAATATAAGGAAGTATATTAAGATTATATCGTAGAAATCCGCACGTGACGTTTTTGCATGTTTGGTCTCTGAAAAGACATCGCAATAGGTTGCGAAATAATCGTGATGGATCTCTATTTTCCGTGCTTACTTGCGTTATCGTTGCGTATAGCTTAACATCATAATAAAGGTATACATAATACTTATGGTCTGAAAACAAAGGATTCTTTTTGCATAGCTGATGTAATATTATATTAAAGTAATATTGCAATTGTTTCTATTAATAATGTGATTTTTGTCTCACCGTCGTTAAACCTTTTAGGCTAGGATTAAACAAACCACCGGCATCAACTTTGTAACCTCTCGTAGCCTTTTCCATCATAAAGCGTATTAACTTTTGCGTCTTTAACGGTGTGTTGTACCATCGTAGATTGCATCTGCATGTTTATAAGATAGTATCAGTTATTCTTTGTCACTAGATTTTATAAAAATTACACGAATCTTTAAATCGTGGAAGTTTAAAACATGTAGTGCAAAACGCCGAACGTCGCATACAATAATGCTACCTACAGTACTTCATAAATATGCCTGTCGCAATCTATAAATTCTTGGCCAACAAAATTGCCTATTGTTAGGAATAAAAAATGGAATAATGTACATATGACAGATGCGATTCCTTCCAGTAATCCCTGTTTCATGAACAATAACAGAAATAACTGTAAGAAAAATCGATTATTTCGATTATTGGCGATTGCAAATAGTTCTCGCGGAAACACCGACAAAGAGATTGACCGAATGAAATTAGCGTGTTGCTTACAAAAATGCTTGCCGAACATTCAGAAATGATAAATAAGAACAAGTAAGGTTTTCCTAATGTCGTCACTAGCAAGCTAGAAAATCTGGAATAAATGTTTCTTGTCATTAATTATTCGAGAGCGCTTCATATTGATTCCGTCTTAAATCTGAAGTGATTGTGTCGGCGACATATACACATACACAAAGTTACATCCAAAAATAAAATGACAAAACTATTACAGACAAATTACAGAAATTATTATATTCATTTTTTCAAGTGAGAAGAGCGGTCGTAAGAGACAGTAACGCTTCCGCGTTATATGAATGTCATACTGACTCGATTGCTCTGTTGTGGATATCAACTGCAGCAGCTATTCTGTCACGATATAAGACGTATTTTTTAGTATCAGATATCTGCAGATCATTTTCATTTAATATACATCCCATACGATAACTACAAAATTCTACATGTCATGAAAGAAATAAAATACGCAATACAGTACATGTACAGTTATATAAAAAAGAACAATTATATTAAATATTAAAATAAAAATAATTATAAAACAATTATATTATAATAAATATTTTAACTTTGTATTGCAAATACCTAAATGATAAATACAAACTAAACTCAAAAAATTTTCTGAATATAATGAATAATCATAAGTTAATAGAAATACTAAATAAACGAGTTTGATTTTTGATCAAAAGGATTTTTCTTGTTCGCAGGGATATATTATCGTTAACAGAACTTATTAGAAACCGTGAACAAATCTTTAATAACAGAGAATACCACACTTACGGAGTTTACCTAGCGATTTTAAACATTGCGAAAGCATGTAATGCGCTTGATAACGAAAACGTTTCAGTAGCTATTCCAGCAAATGTTGCAGTAAGACATCCAATTGATAATTGTACTGTTGAGATATAAAAGTATTTCCGCTGGTCGACATATTCTGTTATATTTAAAATTAGGCGCCTACGAGATTCTTTCAGTGGTGTTATGATAAAGAAAGAATTTTTGATATAATCTATTAATATTAGGATGATAATTCCTGAACTGACGGTTACTGGAATTTTTAGAACTTTATTAATTTATTTAATTGTATAATTACTACTTCTTTATGAGAGAAAGTGTGCCAGTTAATTTTTATGTTAATAATGAATTTAATAGAAAATCATTTTTTTAAAATATTTCAGAAAAATAATTTAGAAGCAAAGCAACCGCTTTTTTTTTATATTTATATTTCATTGATTTACACACACACACGCACGCATACGCACACACGCACGCACGCACGCACGCACGCACGCACGCACACGCACACACATGTATATATGCCGCACGGGGAAGGGAAAGTTAAATTTTCATGAAAAATACGTAGCTGTTAAAATATAAATTTATATGTCAACACATACACATAAAGATAGCATGTTGCTGCATTAAAAACCACTAACTATGTATTTGTAAAAATATATGTATATATGTAAAAAATTTAAATAGTTTCGAAAACGGAACTGTTAGTATGAATATCGTAAGATCGAAAATTTAAAAAATCGGTTGTATTGCTCTTAGAATATATTAAAACTTTCCGAAACTATAGCGATATATAATTATACCAGAAAATTAAACAAATAATTCGGAATATATGTATCATTTACCTGCTATAAGAAGCGTAGATATTCTTCCAACGTTAGTCTGTTTGCGCATTATTTCAATCTCTTTATTGTCCTTAAGAATGCCCCAATTACTTCGAATATGTTCTCGCAACTTTTTTATCTATTAGTACAATATGTGGTAAATATTATTGCACGTAATTTAGTTAATTTCAGATTAATTTGTTGTCGGTCTTACATTTTCTATAGCAATGTAAAAAGTAAAGTATTTTAAATTCCACTGTGCAATTAGTAAATCAAAGCATAACATCTGAAGATAAAGCTTGAGATTATATTCCCAAAAGGCAAATTTCAGTAACTGAAAAATAGATTAACAATTGTACCTTTACTATGATACACACAGTGAGTTATGTGCAAGACATTTTGTACAAATGTCCAATTATATAATATACACATCGAATAATACAATTCTTACACGCATATATTTTCTAATAGCCATATAAAATAATAAATTGCGACGATGAGTAACATTGCATGTTCTAGGATAATGAATGTAGGTGCAGACGTACGGAAACAAAATTATTTTTAAACGCATACGAGTAGAATTCCGCGATAAAATGTACAAAATACGTTAACTGGATCGATGCGAATACCTGAATAAGTATATACGATGTGCATAACAGTGTCATTAATATAACTGAAATCCGTCTGACTCTGTTACTATCGTTTGGCCAAAGCCCTACAAATGACAAAAAAATGCGATTGATTCTATAGTATTGTTCCTCGGGAAACTCCATCTCGTGTGGTAGTCGAAATGTTACTGAACGTTTGTGGTCTATAGAAATTCCTTTCCCGTCCCTTTCTGTGCTTACATGACTAATGAATGTGTATAGCCTACACTTAAAGTTTAAAATGAATGAGTAACTTATATGCACATAAAATGGTGTAATTTAAAATAATTTGCAATGAAAAGAGAAAAATGATATTGTTGGGAAATTAAGCTATACTGTTTTTTATTGAGAAGATAGATGAAAATTGCTAAATTGTTGTAATTTTCAGTTATAATGTGCACTTCAATATTTCCTTTTTTTCACCTTCTTCAAAAGGACGCAGGCGCAGTAGAGAATAGAATGTTGCATCAAAAAGACTTACCACTCCTTTACGAATTGAACAGCGAATACAGTGTTTCGGTTCAAATATTTTGTCTCCACGAACTTTTGGCCAACAGTATAGAGAATAGCCAAATTATGAGTAAGTAATCATCGACAGATTACCGTCTTTTAAATAATACAAACATCGTGTAGAGAAGTTGACTTGATTAAATATATGTCCAATTAAAAAATTTTAAGTAATCGAAAAATTTTGGTGATAAAATCGCGTGTGTTTATATGTGTATGTATATACGTACGTACGATATAGCAGCAGCAATATATAAAATGACTAAACGAAAGAACTTCGAAATTTAGAGTGCAACAAATGTGTAAAATAATTTATACATTTGCTTATTTATATTTAAATAATTCTATTGTTTTTTACGCTATTGTTAACATTAATATCATATGTCAAAGACAAGTAATAGCACTATGTTATTTGCAATGTATTTGATACTTAATTTATATAGAGTAAAGTACCATAAAATAAGAGACAGACATGCTCAAGCCCTGAAAAAAAGGATTCTTTAGCTGTTTAATTATTGTGTTATACAATTAATAATCATAATGATTCTATCTTCGGACATTATAAATACAATGCACGTATATTTTTCTAGAGAGAAAAGCTTTTTATCATAAAAATTCCGTTTATGTCCTCGCATTTTAATCATGACTCATCGTGTTTTAATATTAATCACATCTCAATTTTATCAAACAACCAAATATTTTTAATAATCCGTTGCTTTGTTAAGATCAGTATAAATATAGTTTAAATATTTCAAATCACTTTTGAGGTATTAAAATGAGATATTAAGTGACAAAAATGATCGAAGACAGCTACTTGCTGAAATTTCTCTGACTTTTGCATTTACAAAAAAAGTGAAGATTGAACAGAGAAAAAAGAAAGAGAGAGAGAAAGAATAATGTTACGTACATATTTCCATTTATAAATTGTTCAATAATAAGTTACAGTATCATTAGTATCATCATTTTATGATGAATTCCAAATGCTATCGACTATCTACGCGGATGAATCGGGATTCTCGGCCATCGACGATAAAGATACACAATCTTCCGTTTTGATCGTTAATTAAGATTTGACTGTTTAACTCGAACATTCTTCATTCTCTTGCAGAGCCTTGTTATGACCGATTATTGCGTTAATTATATTATATTTGTGTGGAGCACCGTTTTTTGACTGAAGTAGGGATACGCGATTCGTAGTTGACTAACAAGTAAACCTACCCAAAAGGTACACTCCGATTTTTTTCTAATTTGGCACAAATGTAGAAATACAAAAAATATTTAAATCATATTTTTTCACTTTGGCCCACTTTGAGTTTTACGGGTAGTTTATAGCTTTTTAATATTCTCATTCCTATCATCCACAAAATACAACAAAAATACATAAGAAATAAAATTGAATACAAGATATAGTTAAATAATTTTAACAAAACTGGCATAGCTGAAACACGAACCATTCTAAATTTCTTTAGACGAGATTCTAACCGAAATATTTTAAATCTGTGCCAAATTAGTCAAAAATGGTTCGAATCTCGGCCAAACCGAGAGAGAGAAATCCGGCAATTTTAATTAAAATTTTAACAAAATCGGCATAGCTCAAACACGAACCATTCTAAATTTCTTTAGCCGAGATTCCAACCGAAACATAATCTGTAACAATCTGTGCTAAATTAGTCAACAATGATTCCAATCTCGGCAACAATGATTCAATCGATAAATTATTTGTATAAATAATTTTTTCAACTTTTTACATGTTGTTTAAACATTTTATTATTTATACAAATAATTTTAACAAAATCGGCATAGCTGAGATACGAATCATTCTAAATTTCTTTAGCCGAAACTCCAACCGAAATATTTCAAATTTATGCTAAAATTAGTCAAAAATAGTTCGAATCTCGGCCAAACCGAGAAATTATTTGTATAAATAATTTTTTTTCAACTTTTTACATGTTTTGTTTAAACATTTTATTATTTCTACAAGTAATTTTACATATTTGACTTTAATATTCATAATCAGCAAGCCAAAAACATTTATATCTTGTATTCAGTTTTATTTCTTATGCATTTTTGTTGCACTTGTTGATGATAGAGAGGAGTGAGAACATTCAAAAGCTATAAACTGCTCGTGAAACTCAAAGTAGGTCAAAATGAAAAAATATGACCTAAATATTTTTTGTATTTCTACATTTGTGCCAAATTAGAACGGAATCGAAGTGTAACTTTTGAGTAAGTTTACTTGTAAGTTCTCTATGCGAAAACTATAAGATAATATATGTTAATAATAATTGCAAATACGTTGCTTTGATATAGTATCTTCCTTCCAGCTGACAAAACTGAATTTCCGCGAGCATCCCTACTTTTTTAATTCTTACGACCTCAATCATTATTTTATAATTTTAAACAATGCGGAACAGTATTGTATGTACGTCAAACATACTATTTCCGTGGCCAATACCGTAGTCATCTCGGCCAAGAGCGCCACTGTCATGTGTGCTCTTCTCCAGTTTGCTTTTCTGTACTTTTCTTTCTGGATGGTACATCCATAATAGTCGTCAACAACGAGACATGTATACAGGGTGTCCGGTAACTGATTGAACACCCGCCGTGTACAGGTCAAAATAATCATAAAAGTTATATACCATTTTGAAATTTTTCCAATATTTATTCCGTAATTAATTAAAATGTATAAACGAATGAGCTTATGAGAAGCGGTAGGACAGGCTCTGTGTGTAAAAGAAATGGCTTACCTCTTAGCAACGATAAGTAAACAGCTGATTTCGAGGCGGAGTAACAAGCGATACGTATACGTTACTTCGTCTCGAAATCAGCTGTTTACTTATTGCTGCTAAGAGGTAAGCCATTTCTTTTACACACAGAGCCTGTGCTACAATTTCTCGTGAGCTCATTCGTTTATACACTTTAATTAATTACGGAATAAATATTAAGAAAATTTAAAAATGGTACATAACTTTTATGATTATTTTGACTCGTTCTACGGCGGTTGCTCGATCAGTTACCGGACACCCTGTATATCATTTAGTTAAGTGATTAAATACGATGATAATACCAAAGAGGTAGAATTCCTCTTTGCCAGAATTTGACATATGCGTTCTCACTATTCTGCGCTAAAAATTTTTCAGTTTCTTTTCGAGTATCGTGGAAGAGACTGCTAAACGTTAATTCTACAGTTGAACGGTCATCCCTCCTGTAGGTAAAATATAAGTAACGTTGCATCGAACAAAATTATATGGAGACGAAACTGGGTATATAAACAACAAGTATGTTCGGACATGTGCGTGCAAATTGAGAAAAGATAAGCATTCTAATTTTTTTTTGTAATAGTTGCTGCTCTGTTATATGAATAAATCATCTATGTTGACGAAATAAGCCTATGGCTTGTTTTTGTCAAGGAAAAGAAGACATAAACATTTAATAATTAATGTTATAGTAAGAAATTCAAAGTTACTTGTAATGAGAAGCAACATAATTGTCAAGCAATATAGTTGTTTTACTAAAAAAATTTTTTTAATTATTTCTTAAATATAAGGAAGTATATTAAGATTATATCGTAGAAATCCGCACGTGACGTTTTTGCATGTTTGGTCTCTGAAAAGACATCGCAATAGGTTGCGAAATAATCGTGATGGATCTCTATTTTCCGTGCTTACTTGCGTTATCGTTGCGTATAGCTTAACATCATAATAAAGGTATACATAATACTTATGGTCTGAAAACAAAGGATTCTTTTTGCATAGCTGATGTAATATTATATTAAAGTAATATTGCAATTGTTTCTATTAATAATGTGATTTTTGTCTCACCGTCGTTAAACCTTTTAGGCTAGGATTAAACAAACCACCGGCATCAACTTTGTAACCTCTCGTAGCCTTTTCCATCATAAAGCGTATTAACTTTTGCGTCTTTAACGGTGTGTTGTACCATCGTAGATTGCATCTGCATGTTTATAAGATAGTATCAGTTATTCTTTGTCACTAGATTTTATAAAAATTACACGAATCTTTAAATCGTAGAAGTTTAAAACATGTAGTGCAAAACGCCGAACGTCGCATACAATAATGCTACCTACAGTACTTCATAAATATGCCTGTCGCAATCTATAAATTCTTGGCCAACAAAATTGCCTATTGTTAGGAATAAAAAATGGAATAATGTACATATGACAGATGCGATTCCTTCCAGTAATCCCTGTTTCATGAACAATAACAGAAATAACTGTAAGAAAAATCGATTATTTCGATTATTGGCGATTGCAAATAGTTCTCGCGGAAACACCGACAAAGAGATTGACCGACTGAAATTAGCGTGTTGCTTACAAAAATGCTTGCCGAACATTCAGAAATGATAAATAAGAACAAGTAAGGTTTTCCTAATGTCGTCACTAGCAAGCTAGAAAATCTGAAATAAATGTTTCTTGTCATTAATTATTCGAGAACGCTGCATATTGATTCCGTCTTAAATCTGAAGTGATTGTGTCCGCGACATATACACATACACAAAGTTACATCCAAAAATAAAATGACAAAACTATTACAAACAAATTACAGAAACTATTATATTCATTTTTTCAAGCGAGAAGAGCGGGCGTAAGAGACAGTAACGCTTCCGCGTTATATTAATGTCATACTGACTCGATTGCTCTGTTGTGGATATCAACTGCAGCAGCTATTCTGTCACGATATAAGACGTATTTTTTAGTATCAGATATCTGCAGATCATTTTCATTTAATATACATCCCATACGATAACTACAAAATTCTACATGTCATGAAAGAAATAAAATACGCAATACAGTACATGTACAATTATATAAAAAAGAACAATTATATTAAATATTAAAATAAAAATAATTATAAAACAACTATATTATAATAAATATTTTAACTTTGTATTGCAAATACCTAAATGATAAATACAAACTAAACTCAAGAAATTTACTGAATATAATGAGTAATCATAAGTTAATAGAAATACTAAATAAACGAGTTTGATTTTTGACCAAAAGGATTTTTCTTGTTCGCAGGGATATATTACCGTTAACAGAACTTTTTAGAAACCGTGAATAAATCTTTAATAATAGAGAATATCACACTTACGAAGTTTACCTAGCGATTTTAAACATTGCGAAAGCATGTAATGCGCTTGATAACGAAAACGTTTCGGTAGCTATTCCAGCAATAAGACACCCAATTGATAATTGTACTGTTGAGATATAAAAGTATTTCTGCTGGTCGAAATATTCTGTCATATTTAAAATTGGACGCCTACGAGATTCTTTCAGTGGTGTTATGATAAGGAAAGAATTATTGATATAATCTATTAATATTAGGATGATAATTCCTGAACTGACGGTTACTGGAATTTTTAGAACTTTATTAATTTATTTAATTGTATAATTACTACTTCTTTATGAGAGAAAGTGTGCCAGTTAATTTTTATGTTAATAATGAATTTAATAGAAAATCATTTTTTTTAAATAATTCAGAAAAATAATTTAGAAGCAAAGCAACCGCTTTTTTTTATATTTATATTTCATTGATTTACACACACACACACGCACGCATACGCACGCACGCACGCATACGCACGCACGCACGCACGCACGCACGCACGCACGCACGCACGCACGCACGCACGCACGCACGCACGCACGCACACACATGTATATATATATGCCGCACGGGGTTGGGAAAGTTAAATTTTCATGAAAAATACGTAGCTGTTAAAATATAAATTTATATGTCAACACATACACATAAGGATAGCATGTTGCTATCATTAAAAACCACTAACTATGTATTTGAACTTACTAGAATTATATTAGTTTATATATATGTAAAAAATTTGAATAGTTTCGAAAACGTAACTGTTAGTATGAATATCGTAAGAAAATTTAAAAAATCGGTTGTATTGCTCTTAGAATATATTAAAACTTTCCGAAACTTTAGCGATACATAACTATGCCAGAAAATTGAACGCAAATAATTCAGAATATATGTATCATTTACCTGCTATAAGAAGCGTAGATATTCTTCCAACGTTAGTCTGTTTGCGCATTATTTCAATCTCTTTATTGTCCTTAAGAATGCTCCAATTACTTCGAATATGTTCTCGCAACTTTTTTATCTATTAGTACAATATGTGGTAAATATTATTGCACGTAACTCAGTTAATTTCAGATTAATTTGTTGTCGGTCTTACATTTTCCATAGCAATGTAAAAAGTAAAGTATTTGAAATTCCACTGTGCAAATAGTAAATCAAAGCATAACATCTGAAGATAAAGCTTGAGATTATATTCCCAAAAGGTTAATTTCAGCAACTGAAAAATGGATTAACAATTGTACCTTTATTATGATACACATAGTGAGTTATGTGCAAGACATTTTGTACAAATGTCCAGTTATATAATATAGATATCGAATAATACAATTCTTATACGCATATATTTTCTAATAGCCATATAAAATAATAAATTGCGACGATGAGTAACATTGCATGTTGTAGGATAATGAACGTAGGTGCAGACGTACGGAAACAAAATTATTTTTAAACGCATACGAGTAGAATTCCGCGATAAAATGTACAAAATACGTTAACTGGATCGATGCGAATACCTGAATAAGTATATACGATGTGCATACCAGTGTCATTAATATAACTGAAATCCGTCTGACTCTGTTACTATCGTTTGGCCAAAGCCCTACCAATGACAAAAGAATGCGATTGACTCTATAGTATTGTTCCTCGGGAAATTCCATCTCGTGTGGCAGTCGAAATGTTACTGAACGTTTGTGGTCTATAGAAATTGCTTTCCCGTCCCTTTCTGTGCTTACATGACTAATGAAGGTGTATAGCCTACACTTAAAGTTTAAAATGAATGAGTAACTTATATGCACATAAAATGGTGTAATTTAAAATAATTTGCAATGAAAAGAGAAAAATTATATTATTTGGAAATTAAGCTATACTGTTTTTTGTTGAGAAGATAGATGAAAATTGCTAAATTGTCGTAATTTTCAGTTATAATGTGCACTTCAATATTTCCTTTTTTTCACCTTCTTCAAAAGGACGCAGGCACAGTAGAGAATAGAATGTTGCATCGAAAAGACTTACCACTCCTTTACGAATTGAACAGCGAATATAGTGTTTCGGTTCAAATATTTTGTCTCCACGAACTTTTGGCCAACAGTATAGAGAATAGCCAAATTATGAGTAAGTAATCATCGACAGATTACCGTCTTTTAAATAATACAAACATCGTGTAGAGAAGTTGACTTGATTAAATATATGTCCAATTAAAAAATTTTAAGTAATCGAAAAATTTTGGTGATAAAATCGCGTGTGTTTATATGTGTATGTATATACGTACGTACGATATAGCAGCAGCAATATATAAAATGACTAAACGAAAGAACTTCGAAATTTAGTGTGCAACAAATGTGTAAAATAATTTATACATTTGCTTATTTATATTTAAATAATTCTATTATTTATTACGCTATTGTTAACATTAATATCATATGTCAAAGACAAGTAATAACACTATGTTATTTGCAATGTATTTGATATTTTATTTATATAGAGTAAAGTACCATAAAATAAGAGACAGACATGCTCAAGCCCTGAAAAAAAGGATTCTTTAGCTGTTTGATTATTGTGTTAATATCAATTTCCGAATTTCTTACCGTGGCTAAGCCTTCAAAGCTCGGACTAAACATACCACCTGCGTTTATTTTGTAACATTTTGTAGTTTTCTGTATCAAGAAGAGGATTAATTTTTGCGTCTTTAAGGGAGCATTGTACCATCGCGTGTTACATCTATATAATTGCAGAAAATACTGCTCGATGAGAAGAAGCATGATCAGATTATAATAATACGCAAGTTACAATTGCAATTTAAGAAATCAAACGATGCGTTGTGGAAAAGATGTAGTAATATTATGTTACCTACATCGTTCGGTATACATGTGAGTCGCAATTAATACATTGCTGTCCGGCATAATTAGCTATGATCAAAGCCATCAGATGCAAGATTATAAGCAAAATATGCAGAACAATGTCTAATATGTTTTTTGTCGGTATTATTCGAAGCACCTGAAAACAAGCATACGCAAATTGAATTAAAGAATCGACAATTTTAGATGTCATAAATTTTCGTAACATTAATTCGAAGTTAATGGAATTTTCCCCTTGTAAATGCTGTTACTTACGTAAAACAGATTGATGCTTGTTGAAATTACGACTCCCAAAAATGAGAATAAGTATATAAATCCAAAATTTTTGTTTAAGAGTTCACAATATCTTACAAAATAAAATACAACACGTTATTACTTTTTTCATACAACATTAGATATATTGATTAGCATAATCCCCAAACTAATGATAATATTCCTAATTTAAAGTAAGTTAAACTAGCACGCGAAATAATTCCCAAAAATTATAGTTGCAAATAAATTTTATATATCACTGACTATGAATTACAATATAAATAATCAATCATATATAGTATTATATATATATATATATATATATATATCTATTTAAATAATTTACTAACTGAATTGCTCGTTTATGTATGTCCACTGCAGCTATTATTCGATCACGAAATGCGGTATATTTCTTAGTAGCGCATATCTGTAGTTCATTTCCGTTTAATATATTTTTCATACGATAACTACAAAGATTTTTCACTTGCTGATACATGTAATAGCATATATTAAGAGTAATCCATATAACATGTGACATCAATATAATTAATTAAATTTATAGCTATCGTACATAGCTATTGTGGTAGTAATATTAAAATAATATTAAAAAATTATATCTTTTACGAAACGTTTAATTGTTTATTATATAAATATCTAAATAGCAGAAATATATAAAATAATTAAAAAAATATCTGGAAGAATAAATATACAATGTTCTCTAAAAAAATGAATGGTATAATTTATATCACTAAATTAATCTAATCATAAAGTCCACGTGTTGCATCTAGCGTTATTTTTTATAGAAAAATAATGAGACAATAAATATAATAAATATAAAATGAATATAAAAATGAATGTAAATTAACGGAATAACGGTATGTTTAATGAGAGGAATAATGATATTTACCTAGCTATTTGAAACATTCCACAAGCACATAATGCGTTTGCTAATAGGAACGTTTCGGTAGCTAATCCGGTAGTTCCTACGGTGAATAATGCAATATTTATGTTCATTGTTATGATATGAAAATATTTCTGTTGATCAATAAAATATTCGACTAGAATGATTTCTTGGCGCGAACGAGACACATTCAATGGCCTGATGATATCAAATAAATTGGGAAGATATTGCACTATAATGCACGAACAAATTATGAAATAAACGAACGCTAAAAACGGAGTAAAATATTATTAATATCATAGTAATATTTCGAAATGATTGATTTCATTAACATTCGTTTGTCGTTTACTTGTTATAAATATCGTATAGGTTTTTGCAATCTTAGCTTGCTTATATATTATTTGGATTTCTTGATTGTCGGTTAAATTGCTCCAATTATCCAAGAGATACTTTCGAAATATTTTTACCTATTGAGTACACAATAAGTGCACAATATGTATTACTATAAATAGTAATATTATAGTATTACTATAAATGATATTTAATCACGCATTAAATCTCTGAAACTTACTTTGTCCGCAATAGCATAAAACGTGATGTACTTTAGTGTCATTATTACTATAACGATATTGAAACATAACACTTTTAGAACTATATCGGGCTGGTATTTCGAAACAAATAATTTCAGCAACTGAAAATGTAGCACGGTAATATATAATGTTTGTACGATACTTTGAAACGTGCAGTGTTAATGTAGGTTCTAAAGTATATTAATATCATTTAAATAATATATACAGTCGAAAAGAAAGTTGTGCTTCTGAAACGGCGCGATACTGTTATAGTTAAGCGCTTTTTTATGTTTGAAAAGTACGTTGCAAATATAGATTATGATAACGCAGATACCTGAGCACTCATAAGGGATAACAGTATCAATAATAATAGTATGAATCGCAGTTGTCTAACTTTGATATTATCATATGGCCAAAGACCAGTCACTGATAGAAGAATGCGATTGAATTTATAATACTCCTCGAGGAACTCCATTCCGAATAACAGTCAAAGACCTACTGAACGCTTATAGTCTGTAGCAAGTGTTGTTTCTCTTCCCTAGCTGCGTTAAAACAATTTCTAGCGTTTCAATAGCAATTTTTCTATGGTCATATTTCCTCGCGTGAGTGGTAGAACTATAGTTCGGAATTTGGGATTTATGAATCATTTATACACACGCGAAAGGAGAGAGAATATAGAATAATTTGAAATAATTTAGAAAATATAAAAGACAAATATTGTATCTTTATACAGAGAGAAGTTATGTCATTGTGTCATTATGGAAATAGGTGGTAATTATTACATTATAGCAATTTTTAGTTATATGCGGTTATTTCGATGTCCTTTATTTCTTACTTTCCCCTAAAGATACGCAGACGCAATGTTGAACAAAATACGTTCTATACCATTACGAATCAAGTAGCGGAGAGACGCAGTGTTATAAGATTCGGTTCAGTTACTTTGTTTCTATTCTTGTTCTCGGCTCAAACATTCCGAGATCAGTGCTTTGAAGTGAACAATTCTAATGTCGCGTTTCGGTGGTTATTGAGAATAAAGAAAATATGAAACTCTTTTCAAGAGACAAGATCTTTCAGAGAAATGATGAGAACAAGCAGTGTGCATCGCGCGATTTTTTTAGCCAAATGGTGCACGCGGCAGTGACGTATTCGTTTTATTTGTGAAATTAGATCGTGAATTTCAGACAGGTAAATAATATAGAAACAACTTATATCAGGGTAATCTTTTCTTTCTTCACCAGGACATGAGGGTGATGTGGAAAACAGATGGTACCCTGGAGTGTTCCTCCAGAGGAGAGTATCCGTTTACGGATAGTAGCTTTGCACCATTAATCGTTTGGACACAGTCGAGAAACTCGAGTCGTAACGTAAGTGTGTAAACAACGGATAATCTAACGATAGCGTTTCGCGGACAACATGCGATCAGATATCGTGACATTGAAACTGCCCGTCAGAATAATTTTAGTTCAACACGACGTATGATGATTCGTGCGCGAAAATATTCCAAGACGCGCAGCATAAACGTGATATATTTGGAACAGCGTTAGTGAACGTGCGAGCGTTAAAACGTCTTCGAGGATATAGTGCCCTTTATTCGATAATGTCATTTCTCGCCGTCCCCGGCTGAAACATTACAACAACTTGACGGCATTCCAGCAAGTGTACTTTCGTGATAAATGTCGTTATCATTTCCGTATCGAGCAGAGAACGGTAAAGTGAGAGAGCGTCGCACTCGCGAATTGAGACAGACGACTCATTTTTCATTTTGATTGAAAAGAGCACAGAATCGCGCAACATCGAATGGGTTTTTCCTACCGTAGTGAAACTTTGCAACGACAGATTATACGAACTATCGACACTCATATGGTAACATTTCGCGGTTTTTTGTATTATAAATAATATCTGTTTCTATATTAGCGCGTTGTACCATCGCAAGCTGCATCTTTAATATTTTGCAAAGATAACTTTTACAAAGTTATTCACACGTATCTGTGTATAAATGATGCGTTATTCTATCTGAGATATCTACATCTTCTCGTAGATCTCGGTGTCGTGATCTATAAATTTGTTCAGCGTAATTGATTACGAACATATAGAAGAAGTGGCAACAGAGATATATGACATCTTATTAGATCATACATTGCGCCTGCTGACATTATCATTTGTAACAGCTGTTGAGAAAAGGACATTTATCGATTGATCTATCCGTAAATATATTTTTATTTTTACTTATCTCGCGAAGGATATCCTGTTTTACACTTACCAGGAACAGATTCATGCTCAACGAAGTCACCTCGAGTAGTATTAACGCCATATATATATATATATATATATATATATATATATATATATATATATGTATATCTTTCTGATATATAAGATCGTTCTGATGATTTCGGAAAATTTTGAGAAAATGAAAAAGCCGTTACATAAAGTACACTTTATCATTACTATTTTGCTTCCAGTAATAAATTTCCGTGTTTAAAAGAAATTTAATTGAAATTAAAATATACGTGTCTATTTTCTTGTAGAGTTTTAAATTAATTATACACTTTTAGTGAAATGCGTTAATACATATTTATTTTTCACTTTATTACACGATATTCACGATACTAACAATCGATTGCTCTTCTATGGCTATTCACAGCGGCTACCACACTGTCATAACAGACATAATATTTTCCAATGAATACGTTCGGTGGGTTCGCGTCGATTATATGCTCCATGCGATAACTATAGAAACAAAAATGTAAACTAAATGGGTCGACATCCAACAACGCGATGTCTACCGCGTACTATACGCAACGTATACCTCGCTATTTTAAATGCGTATATGCATTTTATTTGCGTATATGCAGACCGTTAAACAAAACGATTAGGTAGCTTGAATTGCAGTGAAGATTAATCCTATATCTAAATTTAATTATGTGATAATACTTCTGGTCGACAAAATATTTGACCCAGAACAACAATTCGGCTCGCTAGAATTTGTCGAGCGGCGCCATGACGTTAGAGACACTTGCCATGTATTAAATACACATGTGTATTAAATACACATAACCATAACTAAACTCATAAATTAACACTGAAATCATTCGTGCGATAAACGTTAGGTATTTCAATATGAGACACGCGATACTGGTGCTAGTACATTGATGCTTTCGTGCAATTTTATGTATTTGATTCGATGATTGTTGTTGCAAAAGCGTGCCGTTAAGACTCACTCTCTGTCACGTTTAATTACAGTATTTTTTACTAGCTAAAGATTTAGTGATTAGTATTACAGACGTATTTTCGCGTATCGATGGGTTACATCCAGCTCCTTGTTATTCTTTAAAGCGTTTATTTTGAATATGACATATCAATTTCTTTATCTGTCATGGAGAATACAAAGAATAGAATATTCTTGGAGATGAAAGAATAATAATAAACTTTCATCGTATTACGATCATTCCTACGCGATAGAACGTAAACACTCCTACGAAGGGGAATACAATACGGTGCATACAACTCTCTCGAGTTACACACCAATCGGTTTTCCTCTTTTAGTATTTATACATTTCCCCTTGTTGTTCTCGTAAACCTCCTTGCATTACAATATTTATATAGCACAATGATCTATATATACTGACATAAATACTATTTTCCGTACTTACGTTCTCTGTGACAAAATAATACGCGAGATATTTTATAAGGAATAACAAGAACAGCAGAGCGGATGACAAAACTCTCACAATAACGTCCATGTCGTGTTCTTCCAAAAATATGACACATGTGTAGTTTAATTACAACTCATATACTTAAATTTTATTATTCATTTATTAATCATTTATAATAACGATCAGTTAATTGATACGGTAAAGATACGGATAAAGTGTAACTGTTGCAACATTTTATTTGCACCAGCACGCAAAAATGTTAGGGAGACTAATAAAATGAATTATTAAAGCAATATAAATGTGCTGTGAAATTGACGCTGATTGCGTCAATTTGACTTACGTTGAGTCGACTGAGATTTAGTGAGATGTTACTTAAGTTACTTTGTGTTTCGTCGTGCGTATATATTCCAGTCGTACTGACGATGTCGGTAGTTTAACGAGTGTTCATCATGACAAATTAGGACAAATGAGCGTAATTATTTTTTGACTGCCGCGCTGTCAATTCTGGACAGACGATAGCACCATAAAGTAGGATATCGATGTGGCGATAAGCTGTAATGAGATATTAGCGTTATCGTTGAAAAATGCAATGATACTTTACTGGAATTGTCACGAGCGTTGTGTACCGTGGTAAATCCTTCTAACGATAGAACGAAAGTGCCGCCGGTGACCAATTTGCAACTGTTCATGCTTCGATGCAAGATGAACAGCATCAATTTTTGCTCTCGTAGAGGTACGTGATACCATCGTGTATTGCATCTATAATTTAACGAAAATTCTATATTTATCGTTTTCATGTTTCGTTATAAATTCTCAATTTTACTATTCTCAGAGACTATAGTCCTCAGGTAGTATATTCTGAAATTGTACTCACAAATTTTTATGGACGTTTATACTGTGATCTATAAAGAACTGTCCGACAAGATTGCCAAAGAATATGTAAATGAAATGGCCAAGGACAAACAGAAAGGATGTTATTAACTCATTGGCGTTGTTCATTGCGATAATCGCTTGGAAAATCTACAGCATGTCAAGAGAAAAAATTTCAAGAAAAATAATTATTTCAAGCGCGTGGGAAGATTTTATTGCGGAAAAAAATTTTTAGTACTTGTAACTCTATAATCACAGAGAGATAATAATGTTAGATCAACAAATTTTTCTCTCAATGTGATCAGGTGGGACATTTAAATTATTTGTTACTCACGCGAAACAAATTAATACTTAACGATGCTATACCAATTATTATCAGGACAAAGTAGGACACTGCCAGTTTAGACCACAAGAAATCGTAGAACCTTAAACGAAATTCATAAAACCGATTAGATCTTGATTGAAAGTGTCACATGACCATATATATCGTAACAATTATTAATATATAACAATTAGAAGGATTTCCTGTCTTCTTATATGTATGTTGATCGACAGTTCACTGTATGCATTGCTATCGTACATTGGAAGATGTATGCAGTGAACTAACTGAGCTGTCGGTCGAACATGCTAACTTAGCATGCATGTCAAAAGGCATGAAATCGTGCATTGTGTGTTTCTAGCTTTAGCCATGTCATGGGAAACATGCACAGATCATCGGTAATTAAATTGCACGTTATACTAACTCGAGAGCTCTCTTGTGAATCTGTATCGCTTCGATTATTCTCATATGAATTGCTGTGCGTTTCGCGACGGTGGAAGAAGCTCGTAGAGCGTACTGATCGAAGGCATGCCGCAACCGATAGCTATCGAAGGAAGAAATCGTGCCGAATGTTAGAAGTTGCGAGACTTAGGCGCGTCAATACATGAAAAAAAGAAAGAAACATATTTCTATTTCGGTGTCCCGTTATGTAATACTCACCAGGTAATTTTAAACATTCCGCAAACGTGGCAAACGTACATTAAGTACAGCGATTCTGTGCCTAATGTTGTAGTGTAATTAAAGATTAGCGATATAATAATATGACAAGATATAGCGTAGTAGTATTCGTTTTGGTCGATGAAATATTCGACATCTATGGGAAATGTTCGCACGCGCGTTACATTTAACGGCATCACGATGTCGAGGATACTTGGTATATATATCATCACTATGAAACCGAATGCACACGTGTATCCGAATACTGCAATTACACATAGATTTGTAGTTATTGCTCGATTCTTTTGAGTTGAGTAACGATGATTAAAGATGTGAAACGAATAAAATGAAATAAAAGGAATAAATATTTATATGCTGAGCAAGTAATGAAGTATTCTTTATAGTAACGAAAATATAGAGAATATAGTGAAATAAATTATTTTTAATATTCTCTCACAGTATTACTTTCCACTTCTTACGTACTTAAGAAGACAATCGTGCAGATATTTCCGAAATGCGCATATTTCCGTATTATCTCGAGCTCCTTCGCGTCTTTTAAAGTATTCCAATCGTTCTGTACCCGTTCCATGAGTTCCTTTAGCTGTGGTTGCCGTGATATATACATTTGGGTTCGACAAAAAATAATATGAAAAGGAATGATCTTTATTCGCACAACGATCTCTTTCTCTCTTTTGATTGCGTACGCTCGTAAATAAGTCACGCGCATGATTTCGCGATATGATGAAACGAAATTGTTACGCGTTTGTGAGATGAAAAGCAAGATATAGAATACGTATTGCACGATCTATTAAGTTAGAACGAATGATTGTGCGTCCTAAGAAAACGAGGTACCAAGCGATCGTCTTGTACACTTACACTCGCAGGAAGCAGTAAAAAGGTGATGTACTTCCCAAGAACAATCAGACACGGAATAATAATCGATAAGGTTCTCAGTATAATGACCATATCGTACCTCGACATAATTATATTTGCAATCTATAAATGATATTTCACGTAATAAAGCAAGTGTAAGAGACTGATCGCGTGAAATCTACTGCGTATGCCGCGCAAAAGTAACTGGCGATGGCCTTAAGTTAGCGGAAATCGTGTATGCGATTCGGGATGTTTTGCGAAATCGCCAATAATGAAACAAGAAAAACACTCGGTCGCGAGTTTATCGGAGAGTTAAATAGATTCGTAGCGCGCGTCCTTCGGGGACGAGGAGCTTTCACGCGATTTAAATTTACTCCGCCATACTGTACCGTACCATTACGAAAAAAAACGACACGATGAAGCCAGACGACACCAACATTTTGATCTGTTTGAATCCCGATTCCTCGTACGGCCACAAACCAATCGACAGCAAAAGTGTGCAACTCAGCTCGTAGTATTTGCTGCCAGCGAAGTTCATTTTGCGCGAAGATCGAAACGAAACTGCCCGCGGGGAAATATGCGATCGGGCAATGAACGAATTCTATTATGTTCTATCTTTCGCATTTTTTCTTCCTCCAATTTTCTACATGAAATTACGTCCATCGCGCGAAGTCATTTAGGTGCGCGTATATAGCACTATTATTCATGATTTATTAATATACTCGCGCGCCGCGAAGGGAGGAAACGTGGAAACGAGGAGGCGGACGGACGGCTAGCAAATTTCTCCGGCATTTTTTCGTAATAAGAGACAGTAAATTACCTCCGCATTTTTCCAATTTTCCCGATATTTTATCTTCCTCGGTCGACGCAGACGCGATCGGGGTCTTTGTTTGATTGTGGTTCGTCACTTTCGTTCGGATAGTCAGATACAATAGTTCGCTTCGCGTTTACTGAGACTATATCGTGATATAGTGTGCATATTATACACTCGTAAGTGAAGTGAATTTTGCAATAAATCGCTCTTAGCCTCGTTGGCCCACGTGAAAAATGATTGGTATACATAACAGTAACATTAAATAGATATAAATAAAAATCAGAGACGGTCGACATGAACTTATTCATTTTTAATCGTTTTATATGATTTAGTGATCTCTTATGTAAACAGTATTAATCTCTACGTGTGAAGATGTTTCATTAATTATCTTATTACATTAATACTTTCGATTCTTTTTTGAAATTTCTCTATTGATTCAATGAATCGAATTCAGTTCGACTACAGTTGTTATAATCTTTTTTTATCGTTAATAACATCACTTTCGTGCTGACCAAAGCACCATAAAATATGACATAGTTGTATTCATAAGCTAAAATTTCAATTCATGATTTATATTACAAACTGGCTGTATATTACATGTGGCTATTTCATTCAACTCTTTTAGCGGCGGTGAAAATTAACAAGATCTTTCTCTTTATCTTATCTCATAGAAGTTTGACTGTCTAGTCAGAGATTTTAAAGATTTGAGTTGCAGTGTGTTAATTGCCATAGAAGCCATAGTTTACGCAAGATCGCCTCTAAAAGAGTTAGATATTTCGTACTTGCGTAATATTTAACATTTACCGTCGCGAAGTTTTCGAATGACGAAATGTATATACCACCTATTGTCATCTTGCAGTTTTTCATGCTTCTCTGCATTACAAGCGGCAATAATCTTTGCGCTCGCAAAGGTGCGCTATGCCATCGCGTGAAGTATCTAAAAATTTGTTCAAAAATTAGGTTATATCTTATTAGTTTCGTGTTGTTTCGTGTTATCATCGATATAGGAAAGATTGTCCGCTGCGCGCGGACATTCTTTTCATCTTTCATGTATAGTGTATACATACATATTCTGGGAAATATTGGCGCTATGGTCTATTAAAACTTGCCCAATGTAGTTACCCAAGAAGATATAAAAGATGTGACCGAAGGTGATCATAACTAGTTTTACTATTTCGCTCATATCCTTCATGAATAAAATCGTTTGAAAAAGCTGTAAGATATTTGAACGTCAAATTATATATGATATTGAAAAATAATGCAGGTTTTCTCAATTTAAAACTGATCGTATGTATTGTTTCATGGTCATGCACATCGTAAAATATCAGATAAATTTAATATGTTTCTGAGAAAATCCTGCGCGTGGAGAAACATGATAGAAATAATACTGACGCAGAAAAGATTAATGATCAGAGATGTGATTCCTATCGTGAGTTGAAAGCTGTACGATACCATCAGGGAGGACCATAAGACTTCGCAAAACCTTAAAGAGGAAGAAAAACTAGCGCATTGATTTGTTGTTGTCTCAAAAACGTTATGTATCCTTTCATGCCCTCTTTCAGTCGCGTAGTTTCAAAAGAACAAAAATCTCTTGAGTCTCACGATACGAATATTATTTCACGCAAAACGATAGACAAACGGATACGTTAATTGTCTGCTCGAATATTTCTTTCATATATTAACAAGAAAAATGCCTATTATATACCGACTCGAGAGCTCTTTTGTGAATGTATATAGCCTCGATTAGCCTTTGGTAAACGATACCAGTCCTTTTCTCAGGTGTATAAACTTGTAAGAGGTTTTCATCGAACGCTTGGTTCATTCGATAACTGCAAAAATAATGAAGAACAATCGTTTCATCTCTCTCTCTCTCTCTCTCTCTCTCTCTCTCTCTCTCTCTCTATCTATCTATCTATCTATCTATCGAGTTACATATTCCAGATAAAATTTAAGTTCGGCATCGTGCACGGTTTTTCCTTTAACTGATTACCTGGCAATTTGAAACAATCCGCAAGCATGTTGCACGTGTGTTATGTACAACGATTCGGTGCCTAACAGAGTAATGATTATTATAATCAGAGTAAGATCTAAGTGCAACAAAATGACGTAAAAATACTTTTGCTGATCGACGAAGTATTCTCCCAGAATCGGAATCTGTCGTGGACGCGAGAAGTTCAGTGGTGCAAAAATATCAAGAACATTTGGTAAAAGCGGGGTGAGAACGAAAATTATTATCCCCGTAACAGCGAGAACTGAAAATACCAAAAGATGACTCTTTTCATCACAATTGTACGTTACGATTGAAACAAAAGTGCATTACACGTGTATCTGTTTCTTACTTGTGAAACCTATGGTGAACATGCTTCCAATATAAGTATATCTTTCTAAGATTTCCAATTCCCTTTTATCTTTAAGCATATTCCAGTCTTTTTCTACGTATTCCAAGATGTGTCTTAGCTGCTCGCGTAGAGTGTGAGAATTTAAGAGAATGCAGAAACAAAACCGATTATTCTTTACAATAGAATATATTTTCGATTCTTACTACAAAAATTTGCTACACATTTTACATAACTATATGAAATTTTGAAATTTATGTACCTAATATTTCATGAGTAAAAAAGTAAAACTGATCTTTTGCAATCAGATTTATCTAATTTTCGTAGTAAGTGAATTTATTTCTTTTATTTATTTTCTTTTATTATTATTTTAGAGGTGCAATAAGTGAATTTATTTCTTTTCACGAGATTATATACGGACTTCAGCGTTATAGAAATAGAGACGTATAAAATCGGGAATGGCGCAATGACGTTGCGAAGAGTAACGTATTACTGACTCACTTTTCTAGCGATGATACAGAATGTTTGATATTTTATAGCATAAATTATACAAGGTATGGTAGAAGCGAGAATTGTCAGTACGAGGTCAATATCTTGTCTCAGTGCTATTAGGTGCGTTACCTGAAAACCGACGATTAGACTAAATTAAAAAATACCTAGCTATGAGATTATATGAGGCGTTCCGTAAAACTAGACACTAGGCCTCTGTTTCTTATTAAAAAAGATAATGAATAAAGTTTAAGAGGTGTAAGTCTGCTGTTTAAATGCATAAATATAAAAAATGACAACTTCTCTAGATTTTAAGCAATTTCAATATATAAAAAAAATTTATTTTTAAGAGTTTTTCGAAGATTACAATAATAATATAACTCGAATTTGAAATATATATGTGAGCACTAATGAGTATAATAAATAACGACTTTGCTTTTGTTATACGGAACATTATATATCGCAATATGACTAAATGCTATCACACTGAATACACAATATCAGTGAATTATTTTTCGTGCGCACGATATGTTATATAATACCTGACGTTATATTGTACCTGACTGATTATCGTTAATAATACGATAACGTTGCAAAATATCATTCGACAGTATTTGAAGATTGAATGTTCGTACGGCCATAAGCCAACTAACATTAAAAAACGTCGATTGAGTTTGTAGTATCTACTCCCGGGGAAGTCCATCTCTTCGCGACGGTCAAAATGTTTCTGCCCTCAAAGACGAAGAAGTAGCCCTACGCGCTCTCCGACCGCGCTTCTCATTTATTGTATTTATTTTATTTTTCGCTATAATGCACCTCTTACACTAATATAAGATTAATGCTGAATACGCGCGATGACTCTCAATTTACAGTTCCAATTTACAAAATCTACATATTATAAAAAAGACAACGATTATCTATTACATTACGTTACGATTATGTATGTGAAAATGCTACGTGGAGAAAATTTTACTAAGTTGCGTAATCGAGAAGTCTGCTTTTATGAGAGGACAATTTTCTTATGTCCGATCGTGTACGCTCCTCCTCATACTTCGTCGAGTCGTCGATACTTACACATCGCGTTGAAGTACAATGAACGCTTTTAGTACAGCAACATGTGTATCTCGACAGTATTTTAAAAATACAGTGTACGTTTGAGTGAATATCCTCTAAAAGAAAACGTCCTGATATATTTCTTTAAAATACGACACGCGCATCATTTTTTGAAAAGAATAGATAGTCTTGTATTTTTTTTTGTTTATATCGTACACGTGAAAGCAATGTTTTAAAAATCATTATTAATATATCGGCGATTGGGTAGACATAGTTCTGATAACATTGATGTTAAAAGTATCAAACTTTTCGTTAATTTTGTAATTTTATCAGTAAAACATGAATATACTGTATATGAATAGATACGAAGAGAGAAAAAGAAACGCTTGATGTGAAATTATTGTTTATTTATCTTAAATTGTTTTATGTCTTCGTCATGTTTATTGTGAAATATTGAAAATCTAGGTAAAGAAGTTTTGATAGCCATCTTGTGATTATTACGATTATCTTTTTTTTCAACTTTTCTACTGATTTAATAACTATGAATCGTAAACGGTATGATCGTTTCGTAGCACTAATATCGTTACTTGTTTACAGACCAGAGTACCGTAAAGTATGACATAGTCGTACTCATAAGCTGCAAGTTCAATTCAGAATTTTTGTCATATAGTGTTATTGTACATATATCTGACTATTTTTATTTAACTCTTTCGGCGGCGACAAAAATTATCGAAAATTACTGAGAAGAAAGCTTTTTCGATTAGATTGATTCTATATGCAATACTCCACGAAATTAAAATATTTAAACTGTATTCTGTTAATTATCGTAAAAGTTAAATTCGCTGCTAAAAGAGCTAAATGTTTCGTACAACATTTACCGCTGCGAAGCCTTCCAATGACGGGACGAACATGCCGCCCACAACCATCTTGCAGCTTCTCATGCTTCTTTGCATTATAAGCGGCAGTAACCTTTGCGCTCGTAAAGGGGCATCATGCCATCGCGTGAGGTATCTGAAAGTTTGCCCAAAGGTCAGATTTTATCTAGCTCAATCGAGGTTTCGTATTATTATCAGCACGACACAAAATTGTTTCGCGCGATTGTAGGCGCTCTTTTTATTTTCGATTCCGCGCAGAAGATACGTACGTTTTCTCAAAAATACCAACACTATGGTCAATTAAAATTTGCCCAACGTAATTACCCAAGAATAAATAAAAGACGTGACCGATAATGAACACACTTATTCGTAATATTTCGTCTATCTCCTTTACGATTAATGCCGCTTGAAAAAACTGCAAGCAATACGAGCAAGAAATTGAGCCACGAATATATACAATCGACCGCACATATCTCATCATATCACATCATAAAATAGTCGGCAAATTAAATGTTTAGAAGAAAAATTCTCGCGGGAAGAAGCATGAGAGAAGTAATACTCACACAGAAAAGATTAATGATGAGAGATGTGATTCCGATTATGAGTAGAATAGTGTACGATACAGCCAGGGAGGACCACAAGTATTCGGAAAACCTTAAAGAAGAAGAAAAGCTAGCGCGTTGATTTGCTGTCGTCGGAAGACGTTGTTATCTTTTAGTCGCGTGATGTCAAGAGAAATCTCTCTCGAGTCTAACGATATGAATATTTCTTTTATATATTAGCAAGAATAATGCCCATTATATACCGACTCCAGAGCTCTTTTGTGAATGTGTACGGCCTCGATTATCCTTCGGCAGACGATGATCGTTCTCTTTTCAGGTGCGTAAGCCTGTAAGAGATTCTCGTCGAACGCTCGATTCATTCGGTAACTGAAAAAGTAGCGAAGCATAGCACAATCCACTTTACGTCTATCGATCGAATCAGATCCTCAAGATAAAATTCCGAACAAGTTACGTTAAATTTACAGCTCAGCACCTTTGTCTTTTTTACCTGGCGACTTGAAACAATCCGCAAGCATGTTGTACATGTGTTACATACAGCGTTTCGGTGCCCAATAGAGTAGTCACTACTAAAATCAAAGTAAGGGCTAAGTGCAACGAGATTGCGTAAAAGTACTTTTTCTGATCGATAAAGTACTCCCCCGGGAACAGAAGTTGTAGTGGACGTGAGGCGTTCAACGGCGCTATGATATCGAGAATAATCGGTGTAAACGGCAAGAAAATGCATACTATTATTGATACGACACCGAGTACTGAAAATACGAGAAAACCTTTGGAACGATTGTAGGACACGATTAAAGCTAAAGTGATTTATACGAATGTCAGTTTCTTACTTGTGAACCCTAAGCTGCACATACTTCCAATATAAGTATATCTTTCTATGATATCTAGTTCCCTTTTATTTTTAAGCATATTCCAATCCTTTTCTACGTGTTCCATCAGGCGCCGTAGCTGTTCGCGAGAAGTGTCAGAATTCAAGAGAACGTATGAATATAAAATCGATCGTTTTTTAAAGCGATACTTCAGAATACATTTTTGAATCTTGCTACAAAGATTTGTGTCTTCACTGTACGATCTTCCTGCCGTCACGGGCACGGAGAATCAGAACTTTTCTCATTTACATTGCAAATGTTTTCTAAACATATACAATGTAAATTCGAAAACTTCTAATTTTCTTACATCAGTGTTCTTTCGTAAATAAAGAATCGGGAGATTTCCTTCAGTCAGATATTTTTAGTCGGATAAATGTGTAGTGAGAGATATTTACTTACTTTTTGGAATTATATGTTTAATTAAAGAAATAGAGAATAAAAGTAGTATATGGAAATAAATGTCATAGAGTATTCTTATTTTACTATATATATATATATATATATATATATATATATATATATATATATATAGTAAAATAAAAAGAAAAAGCAAAACACACACACACACACAATGTTACTGCAAACAGTTTCACGACTCACTTTTCCAGAGATGACACAGAATGTTTGGTATTTTACAATAAAGATTAAAAAAAGTATAGTAGGAGAGAGTATTTTCAGTATGAGATTAATATTTTGTCTCAATTTTACCAGTGTTACCGCCTAAAACCACGATGATTAAATGAAATTGACGATAAACATATTTTCATCCATATCATATTCTATATCGTGACATCACTGAATGACATCGCATAAGATCGCATTTAATACGCGTTATTAGTGGATTAATTTATTCTGCACACGTGACAACACTCAATACCTGGCTAATTGTTGTTAACATCACAATGACGTTACAAAGCATTACTTGAAAATATTTGAGGGATAAATGCTCGTACGGCCACAAACCGACTATCAGTAATAGACGTCGACTGAGTTTATAGTATTTGCTTCCGAGGAAGTCCATCTCTTCGCGATGATCAAAATACGTCTGCGCTCAAAGACGGAGAGATATCTACGCCCCCTCCTACCTTTATCCCCATTTATTGAATTTATCGCTACGTTGCACTTTGCTTGGTCGTGCGGTGAACGCGAGATACGTACGATAATTTCCACAATTTGTAAAACGTCTAGGTATTAAAAAAATGAGTAAAAAGCAATGTGCATATATTTCGCGAATATAGATAAAAGTAATACACGGGGAAAAATTTATTAATTTGCATAATGTAGACTGCCAATTTCTTCAATAAGAAGGTAATTTTCTTATGTCGCGGATTATATACAGCTCCTCTTCATAGTTGATCGAGTCGTCGATGCGTGAGTTTTGCGTTGAAACGAACAGTTTTAGTGCATCAAAATTTGCGTTCTTTGTATTTAAACAATGCGGAATGAACAATGAACCACACATATTTTCTTGGGGAAAAAAAAAAAAAAATATATATATATATATATATATATATATATATATATATATATAAAATTCTACATAAAATTCTTCAAAGTATGATGTGTGTACCATTTTATGAGAGGATTATTTAATATCAATTTTAAGCTAGTTAAAGAAGCGGAAGGTGAGAATTTTTCATGAGGATGTTTCTAACGCGAACTCGACATTTTTGTTGTTATCGAATATGAGACTATTCTCTGATAATAAATAAAGTTATTGTTCATCTCTCAATGACGACACACATGTCTATAAATTTCTCGTTGGATAAGGATAACGCAAGTGATAATTTTACCTGACGCGGCGCGACGTCGTCGTCGTGGCGCAGCGCGGGCGCAATAGCGAGCAATGCTCTTCATATGCGGTGCTTTCTTCAATATCGCATGGACTGTCGTGCGAAGAAGAGCTTTGCTTTCCCGCGTTGTCGCGAAACAGCGTGGCGTTACTACCACTCGTGAAATAGTCGCGCGTCAAGTTTGAATTGTTTAGTGCATTGAATGTGTGTGGTTGGTGTTTTTTCTCTTTTTTTTTTTGTTTTGTTGTCGTTCGACACGATAAGTTGCATACTTCAAATACTCGGTGATTTAACTGTGTCTTGATAGGAATAAAATAAGGTATGATGCGTGAGATATGTTGAGGTAAAAATAATATTGAGAATAAATACATATAAAAAAGAAAACTGCGATTATCATCGCGAATTCTTCACGAGAAGAATTGCCTTTTCTCTCGAAAGTACTACTGGATTTGCATGCCAAGGATAGATTTATTTTTCCTTGGTAATAATTTCGTTATGAAACGTAGGAATACTTTTTTCATTTATTTATGATACTGCGAAGATAACAGCTTCGCGAAGGATTTTTCTTGCATTCTTATCGTGAAAAATAGAAAAATAGCCAAGTCAGACGAAGCAACGTTTTACTTGCAGATTGTGATTTCGCTCATGTCTGATAAAACGAGAATGCCGCGTTCGAAAAAACATTTTAAAATGTCGGCGGTTCGATTGATATAATGAGACTGATAATAAATAGATCTGACTTTGGTTGTTATAACAATATATTTGTGCAGTAAGATTTATCTAGATTTAAGGATAAAATATTTTTTAAGATTTTTAGATACTTTGTATAACCTTTTACTTCTCTTTCTCTCTGTTGTTTTATTATGTATTTCGATCTTCCCCTCACTGAGTCACATTATTACCACCTTGCGAAATTGTAGGGTACGAACAAAAAGCGTTGCTTCGAATGCCATAAAACAGGGGACGACTAAACTATCGATTAGAATCGATTTCTGTAACCTTCTAAAATAGGGTAACATACTGAACTAGGTTAAAATACTGAAATGGGGTAAAATAAGAAAGAATAAAACAGCAAAGTATCAATAATGTTTTTCAACAATCACGTTTATGCTGTATCAAAACCGATAATCTGCAAAGTGATAAAAAATTAGAAAAGTAGTGTTATCAGAGAAGCGAGGGGTGTTATGATTCACGATATAAAAATGTACGAGGTGTGGCTTATTAAATATATAATGCTGTGTTCTTCTCACATAATGTTTACTAATGCTTGTGGCGAATGCATTTTATTCTGCAAAAATTGAGTTTTTTCATAAGTGCTACTAGTCTGTTGTATTGATCATTAGAATCAAAGTCACGGTTGATTTCAATCTTTACGCGCGGAGTAGATCACAGTAAGATATGACAGTGTCATGTTCGTCAACTGAAAGAAATAATTAAGATATATGATATTTTGAAAATAGAATAAAAAGAAATAAGAAATGAATTAATAAACTAGGTTTAGGTATCGATTATGGTATCATTGTCATGTAAAGTTCATGAGGGTTGCGTTATTATAGCTGTATGAGATAATGTTTATTTCTTAATTAATTATTCGTTTGAAATTGCAAGAAATATATTGTTACCGATGCGAAGGTCTCCAACGATGCTATAATTATGCCAATATTGCTGATATTCAATGCATAACCCTTCATCATCTTTTGGAGTATGAATATAAGAATTTTCTGTGCTTGTATTGGCGCCGTATACCAGAATGCTTCATATCTATGCAATCGTAGTCAGAAAAACACGTGTTTTGTTTCACTTTTATTTCTACTGAATTTCTTATTAAAATCTATGATAACATTAGTACTATACATTAGTGGTATATCACTTGCAAAGACTTACGTCATATTGAACATACGAATACTATAGTTGTTTAATTTCTGACCGAAATAGTTAACGCCAAACAAGTAACCGTACTGGCCTAAAACGAAAATCCCGGACGCCATTAGTTCCTCCCAATCGTTCATCATTTCAAGGGCTCGGAGTAGCTAAGGAGCGAATTTTTGAGCACATTACACATCACGCTTGCAATTACATAATAAAAATTGAGGAAAATCACAGAGACATGACATAAAATAATTTATTACTTATCTGGAAGGGGTAATATATGACTTACGCGATACATGTTGATGGTAATCGTGACTATGCCGAGTATGAGCATGATCGAGTAAGACGAGTTAAACGCCAACTTGAAGCGATCTAAAAATCTTCAACAGCAGTGAAAAGTCACGCGTGTGTGTCGACTACGAGGAACACAGAATGACGTGTCCTTTCTTTCTCGCGGTGGAAAAACGTTTCTCTCAGGAAAGATCTCTGCACTGATTTCCCAGCAAAAAAGTTAAGGCATCTCCGCCGTGTACTCACTCGATAGCTCTCTTGTGAATTATTACGGCCTCGGTGATTTTTGAGTGAATCATACTGTATTTTTCGCGGTCGGACATGTTGGGCATACATGATGTCTCATGCTCGTCAAAAGCGTGCTTCAAGCGATAACTATATAAATAGCACCATCACATACGTTATTTACATTATTTTAATATACAATGTGTGCGCATTGAGAGAAAAAGTGGTTAATGTCACTAAAATTATAGTTATTTTTCATGCCAATATTTGTTTGTTGTTCTAGCAAAAATATAGTAATATGTTGAGAGAAAATCTAAGAAATAAAAAATATTTATTTAGTGGTTGCTAATAACATATTTACTTACACTAATAGAAAGTATTGTTCAAATAAGAAAATATATAAGGTATGCAATTTTTTAAAATTTTAGTTTTTCATATAGCTGATTGTTTATTCTATTTAAATAAAATAATTCAGATTTAAGCAATACGTTATTAGTGTCCACCGAATAAATATTTTTTATTTTTTCTCTTTTAGTGTAGGAATGTGCATATAAAGTTACTATTATCCTTACTATAGTAATACTCACAACAAAAATAATTTTTCTATCTATGACTATTTCACTGCGCAATTGTAGTTATGTACCGGTTAAATACCAAGTACATTTTTCTCAGTACGCGTGTCACTTTCGGGAATTATCAACTACGTTTACCTGATTACTTCAAATAGTCCGCAACCGTGCTGAATAAACACCATAAGCATTGCCTCAGTGGAAATTACTAAGGTTATACCTATTCCAATTACCATTGAGTGGTGCACTAGCATAGGATAATAATATTCCTGTTCGTCAAGAAAGAAATATTCCGATAAGATGGGCAATTTTCTCGGACGAGATTCGTTCAGAGGGCGAACGAAATCGAGGAAGGTCGGAATGTACAGCGTGACGATATAGCCGAACAGTGGGATAAATGTTACAACTGAAACAACGTTGTGTCATCGCATATCAGAACAGATTGATAGTTTTCTTCACATATACGCTTCAGTACCGTCTGTGAAATTTATAATTTAGTGCAAATTACGTAATCCGCAGTATCTGAAGACGAATTACCGTAGGCAAATATCGTGCATTGCATTCCGGTTATGGCACTACACCGTATAATCTTGCGTTCTTCTCCGTCCTTAAACGTATTCCAGTCGTGTTGTATTCGATCCAACAGTTGTCTCAGCTAACGATGTCGAAATGATCATACGTGAGCGGAATAATGTTACATTTCCGACCAAATTAATCACCCTCTAATGATCAAGCAGAATATACCGATAATCCCACCTCGAATTATTCATAAACCTACCTGTTTACCGCTAGTAATATAGGTGACGAATCTCAGGATATAAATAAGAGAAGGCACCGCGTACGTCAGATTGTACAGAAAGCGATCGAGATCGCTTATAGTATCATGCAATTTCGCGAACTGTCGAGGAAATTTCATTACAACATGAAAATTTTAAATCCCGTAAAAGATTTCTCCGATTAATTTGATTTAATAGATAAATTAATTAATTGATTCAATTAATTCTAATCACCAGTTAAAGAAATGACAGAATATATAGATCTAATAATTCTGTGATATGCGTCGGGCTATCAGTTTTCTTCTATATAATATATGCAGATATATTTTTTATAAATTTTCAAATGTCATAATTTTTTTCAATTCTTCCATAAATATGAAGCATATCAAAAAAATTTGAACGTTACCTGAGTAATGGAGGAAGACACGAAAACTGTAAGCATCGATACTCTGTAAATCCGTATGAATATCGAATTGTTGTATGGCCACAGTCCTAATATTTCGAGAAGGATTCGATTGACCTGGTAGTAATGCTGACCGACGAAGTTCATGTCGCCTCGAAGATCCCGTCGCGTTTGTCGCAAGTTGTGGATTTCATTTTTTCTTCCCCACATTTGTTATCAATTGTCGCAAACTACTTTCGCAATTTACTTGCGCAAATTTCACTATTACGTAAAATTCGCGGTAAAAAGAGGGAACGATGCAGGCGAATTACGCAAACGTGGCGGAAAACACATGTTCGCTTTTATTATTCATTATCGTGCAGAATTGGCGCACGCGCGATCGTTTTGGCACACGCTCTCATTTTTTCTCCGAGCCACTGAACCGTGCAGACGGCCGTCAGGTTTCGACTGCTTACATATTAGTCGTTTCTGCACATCGCGCTGGATGCACCGCCGGATATACGAAGTGACTCACACCCACTTTGCGTGTTCGCACGGCAGGGGAGAAACCTCTTCTCTCTAATGGAAAGGTTTGCTTCCTCTACATTTCCTTTGCATGTTGCTGCCTGATATTTATAGAAGGATTGGAAGAATCGTAAATTATTTGAAAATTTATCAAGAATATATCTGCGGATATTATATAAAAGAAAATTAATGCCGCAATACGGACCAGATTATTAGATGTATATATGGAAAGATCTGAAACCTGTATCGTGATGGCAGATTTAATGGATTATTTATGCGGAAGTACTTCATTTATTGCACTGTTTATGGAAATATCGTATATTTACTTATAGAATTTATAAGTTTAAAGCTGATATTACGCAATCCATCTTGATATCACTTCTTAATACTAAAGAAATGTTTCACGCTTAATTTACACACGCTATGGGTGGCGGGAGTAATCTCGAGAAAGAAGAGACGTTGTTCGATAAATTTTACTGAAACGTATCCGCAGAGAGGTAATACGTAACATGTGCCGCACGCACCTATTCCGATTATGCTTATCCAGCTGGTTAAACGTGTCTATAATTCTCCTTGCGGTTTTCTCTATTGCGCCCTCACCGAGAGGAGAAGCATGACGTAGGATATGGACATGCTTATGAGCTGCAATCGATGTTCTTCCTTTACAATATTCGCGTGAAAATATAATTATCTCGCGGTGTCCGTTGACTTACCATAGTGAAACCTTCTAACGACGCCTGGAATAAACCTCCAGCTATTAACACGCTCTTTCTGCTACTTCTTTGCATTATGAACAGTAACGATTTCTGCATCCACAACGGTGCCGTGTACCACTGCGTACTATATCTGCTGACACGCGCGTGAATGCACGGATTAGCAAACGACATAAATGTGATATCGTTAGATTGACGATTTATCCAATCAGTATCTTGATTTTTGTCGTTTTGTGAATTTGTATGGATATACGGGATGTCTCAGACCTCCAGATGGCCCTTTGTGAGAACGTAAAATGGATTGAGGTGAGCAAGAAAGTTCTGTGCCGTTTTGCGATATTCGCAATAATAGTCTAGATATTAATTAAAAAAGATTGGTGATTGATCACGCGCGATGTGGTAGATGAGCTGCAGTGGTGCCGTCTGCCGTTGTATACTTATACATTAAATTAAACTGAACAAAAAAGTCCTTTACCATTTTGCAAGTGACCACATAGATTTTTAAATATTAGTAAAAATTGTTACATATATGATTGTATATCATAATGCACAAATTTTCTTTAATTAATATCTAAAAATCTATGTGGTCATTTACAAAATGGCAAAGGACTTTTTTGTTCAGTTTGACTTAATGTATACAACAGCAGACGGCACCACTGCAGTACATCTACCATATTGCGCGTGATCATTCACCAATCTTTTTTAATTAATATCTCTCTAGACTTTTATTGCGAATATCGCAAAACGGCACAGGACTTTCTTGCTCACTTTAATCCGTTCTACGTTCTCACAAAGGGTCATCATGGAGGTCTGAGACACTCTGTATATTTAGTGAGATAAGAAGATATTATATGTAAATATTCTCAACTATTTATGTATTGTGTATTACGATGTAACGGGTGCATTGTAGTCGCCAAAAATGTATGCGAAGAGTATGTCGACAATCGTGTACGTTTTCTGCATTAGTAACGATATAACGATAAAAATAATTATGATACGATACTCACGTGATCTGATGAATTTCGACACTCGTATCTATGACATTCTGACCAACATAATTGCCTAGAAATATATAATATAATCCCAATATAAAGACAGAGGATGTCAATATTTCCAATGGATCATCTAGCGTCGCATTGAGTAACTGCGCGTACGAAACGGCCGTTATTTCTTAACTATATGTTTTTCGTGCGTGGAGAATATTATAGCTTTTTTTTCATTGAAAATTCTTTTCAATTTTATTATATTTCTAGTAGTGCAGGGGTAGATTACCAGTAGGGCTTATCTTGTTAAGGAACATAGTAAGTTTCGTTAGGAACGTAACAAATTTTTTTAATAGCACATTTCAGTTTTTAAGATATAAATAGCACGTATGAAATGACGAGATAATCAGTTAGTGCAGAATAACGATCTCGGTTACTCGGTTACAAGATTCTATAGCAATTTTCACTATAAAATTCCCTCCGCGTATTTTCGTGGTAACGAAAAACGATCGGAATAAGTGATAACTGTGTGTACTTTGTATTAAAAATCATACTTACATGATACAAGGAAAAGCTCATCACAGCCACGCCAAATCCTAACAATATGAAATAGAAGGTCGCGAAACTGCTCGTCAAGATATTGTTCAAACTTCAACAGCAAAATGCGCCGTTCATTATCGATCGATTTTACTACGATTTTTGGATCCTTTGCGCTCGATCCTTTCTGCGAGGGTTCTTAGATACCGCATCCGAGGAAAAAAACTTCACTCTTTCGCTCTTAGGCCTGTGTTAATGATCGTTACTTGAAATTTCTTTCGAGTTTTAAGTGACGATTATTAATATAAGCCTTTGTCTTATTCGCGAAACGTATTCTTCTTTTTGATGTTTATTCATTTATTCAGTTTTTTAGACAACGGAACACGTCAAAATTAATAACGTTATTAATCACGGATATCGTTTTTCGGATTGGCACGCTGCCCGCGCAAAACAGGCTTCGAGCACGACAGGAACAAGATGAACGCCAATACTAACTCCGTAGCTCTGCGGTGAATGTATATGGCGCAGATTAATTTTTCGTAAAGTATACGTTGCTTAATGTCCTTTTGCAACATGTCCTTATTGAATATTTGTTCTATGCGGTAGCTGCCGAAAATACGACGGCGTTATTAAACTCATCGGCTCTTCTTTTCTGTCATGCATAACATTCCGAAGAATTATCTTTACGTTACCTAGTAATTTTGAATAGAGCGCAGACATGCAACACATACGCAATGAGAATCGATGCAACGGCCACGATCGTGATGCAACCGGCATAATTAACTAAGAAGCTATACGTTAAAATAGCGTAAAAATACGTATCTTGATCGACGAAAAATTCCATTATAAAGATAAACGAACGCGGCCGAGATTCGTCCATCGGTACGATTATATCAAGCATGATCGGTATACAACTTATTACTACATACCCAAGAAGAAAGATAGTTACTAAGGCTGAAGCATACAAATTACATCATGTATTTCGCGAAGTAGAGCGATTACATTGTTACGAGTTTAACGCGTTGGAATTTAAAAATAATTGCGATCTTTGCGAGAAGCGTCTGCGATTTTAATAGTGAGATGTTTTTTAGGATGATGAAAAAATTACGAGAAAGCATTTGCATTCTGAATCACCTCTGGAGGATAGTTTAATCAAATGTTTTATAGAAATGTCTGTGAATGTAACGTAACGCGTGTAAAAACGTGAACGTGCTATATGAATGTCCGCGATGCGATTGATGATGTTTTGCTTGAATTCTTACAGAAAAATTGGATTGTGTACAATCTCGAGTTACTTGCATATTGTTGTATTATTTTCAGTTCGGCCTGACTCTTTAACATATTCCAGTCGTATCGAATACTGTCGAAAATGTATCTGATCTACGATCAAAAGTAAATTGCTGGATGTTCTATTTTTTCTGTAAGAGATTCTTTCTTTTTCGTATCATGCTATCTTAGTCAATTTCCATTATTTTTACGTAATAACATTCAATAAAGTCTTCGCGATATATTATCTAATTAATATCCACTACTCACTTTAAAAGTGAATCGGAAATAGCACGCTTGAAAAGCTCGACGAGACAGAATGTCGACAAGCGAATTAAAAGCAATACTTACATTATCGGTGAGCAAGAGGAAAGCGTTGTATTTTATAATGTAAATGCCATTAATCACGATGAACATGATAATTTTGATAAAGAAATCGATATTGCACTGTCTCACGAGAAACACGTTGAACTGAAAGCAGCACTCACTGAAAGGTTATGATGCAGAAAATAACGCGAAAATGATTATGCAAGAGTGCTTTCAGGAAAAGTCCATTGAGCGAGAGTATATTCATCGTAAATTCGTATGTCGCTATTATTTGTAACAACTGTTAAATTCGGATTCATAATGAAACAATCACACGAATAAATGAGATTGAATGTGAATTGAAAAGAAAAAAACGAAGAACACGCGGATGGTACCTGAGATAATAGAAAGGACAAAAATAATGTCTGGAAAAAGACCATTTGAATTTTCTTCAGGACTGAACTCTGATAAGGCCATAAGCCGAGGCTTAACAGAAGAAACCGATTCAGCTTATAGTATGGTTCTCCGGCGAAGTCCATCGTCGGCGAAAGCTAAAACACGTATGACAGCCGCGACGGCGTAGTCTCGCGGTTCCCCTCCATAGTCGAAGTTAGAGATGTAATGGACCTCTTTTCTTTTAAATTCACGACGTAATTTACAGAACGATCACTTTCGTCGTCGTGAAACGAACAACAGGTGCGGCGAATTTAAAATGCACCGTCAGCAAGTATGCGTGAATAAAGAGGATCGATTTTCCTCAATTTCTTTTTCCGACTCGCTACAGGGAACGAGGAAATGAGTTATCGAGATAATATCAAAATTAGAGCGACGTGGCGTATAATATTGTCACGTACATTTTCTTTGGAAATAGATACCTTCTCGCATGTCGACGCAAGCGCGAAAACCGGCTTGCCGCGAATGGCATGGTTCATTCCGTTGCAGTTCGATCTGTCTTTGCAACAGCGTCGCATGTCATAGTCTTTGTGACGTATACATTTCGCGTGATATCTGTTAGTTCGAAACGAAAGAACTGGACCTGACAGTGTAACGAGGAAAAATGGGAACGCTGATAAGAAAAAAAACAGATCATGAAATTACGCACGGTGCTTATGTGTAAGCAAAGAAGATGCACATTTCTCTTGTTATTTTCCTATAAAATATCAATGAAATATCGATGTTGTAATCCTGTTTTCATCATTGTTCCAGTTATCGAATGTTGCACTTCTGATATTTCCTTTCACGTTGACTTTCGTGAGATATAGAATATTACGTGATTTAGCCAATTAGTCGTGAATATCTTTGGAAATATCATTGGTTTCATGAAGAGCCGTCGTAATGAAGTATATACTTGCAGAGTAGATACACAGCTTCGTGCGAATTATATGATAAGAATATGCATAAGCGTGTACAGCGCAACATACATAACTTTTATATTTTCGAAGTTCGGTTTATAATTATATTACACACACATTAATATGTAAGTATATAATACAATTTCTCGAATAACGCATAGAGATGAAGAATATCAGAAGAAGGAAAAGAAGAGTTATTTACGTGTAAAACAATCACACAACAAGTTACCTGAAATTTAAGATACATCGATAGTAATATTCGAAATCGCTCGTACGGGATTCTACGAATATATCAAATTTTAGCGACCTGATCGATCATCTCGAATGGGCGAACGAACATATGACCGTGAAATAAGATATCGATATGCTTGCGAGCTGCAAATTTATATTTCCGTGGATGATAAGGAGGCCGGGTGGCATAGTTATTTGAAACAATTAGATAAGATCGTTATATTTTTGGTAGTCGTATTCGTTACCGTAGAGAAGCCTTTGAGGTTAAATATTCCTCCAAAAACTATAAATATTCCTCCGAAAAAGAAGTTCTACGAGGTTTTCTTCATTATTAACTGTAAATATTTCTGTGCGCGCAACGATACCACATACCAATACGAGCAGTACCTATATTTGTAATTTCGATTGTAAAATATATGTTATATATTTCAATACTTATTTCGTGCCGAACATATTTTATTTCCTTTGCATAAATTTGGCAAGGATTATTTTCTTAGTGTTCTCTCGAACGCGTATTTTCAAAATGTAATTACATTTTCGTGAAATTGATCTGACGTGTCTAATTGTGCGTAAAAATTTTTTTTTAATCGGAAACATAGAATTCGTGTTACACATTGCAAACTCACCCGCTAATTCTCGTTACTTACGTTATATCGAATACTTCGGCGTAATGATCCGTAACTAATTGTCCGACATAATTCCCTATATACAAATACCAAAATTGTACGAGGACAAATATAATGATTACTATAATCTCGTTCACGTTGCTTCTCAATAATGCAAGGAATACCTGGAATTACATTTTTACGTATGAATTGAGGTTTGGTAAATGTCACAAATATATTTTTTTCATATGAAACAAATGGTGGTGTTACACAAATTAGATGTCCATGCAATTATTCTCACTTGAGAACTCGTACTCACTTGTGAAATACCAAACATTATCGAAGCCACGCCTGTAAATAGTATAAAGAAATAAAGTACTTTGAAAATGGACAGAATCAACAACGAAGCAAGATCTAATTTAGTTACACGCCATTTTCACGGTTACGCTTAATGCGATATAATTGTCTATGCAACCCGCTTATAAAAATTGTGTAAAATTCCAAAAAAGAAATACAATTTCATCATGCTACAATTGGGATGAAATTATAAATAGATGAAATTTTTCACCTCATGCTTTAGCTTGAAAAAGTTACAATCCAGAATCACTTGTTGCTTGAATTTCGATTTGTGAGAGACTTCAAATTGATTCAGAATCGTCGGGGTATTGACAGTTTATTTGCCACAATTGCATGAAACATTGATAGTGCATCTTAATGAGATTTATGCTGCAGTTTTAAGCAAATATACGAGTAAATCGTAAAATCGTAAAGTCGTAACTTACAAAAAAAAAATTGTAGATATTTACGAGTTATTATATGACATACGGTTCGTATAGAATTGCAGATTTACTCATAAATTCTTACGAGTCTTACGAGAACAAGTTACGAGTTTTACGATTTTGTCTAGAATTGCAGAATTAAGGAAATGAAATTTTTAGGGTCTCTATCGCTGCAATGACTCATAAAACCGTAACTGAATCACGGTATATATGTTGAAAGTACAATTGTATTATTGATAAGACATTTTTTTTCCTTTTGATTGAATTATCGTACTACAAAATTTTATCGAAAGAGATATCAACTCTATGGCCTTTTGATGAACATGTACCACCACTGATGATTCTCTCGCAAACTGCGTCATCTTGGGAAGACGAAGTTTCCGCAGAATCCTCGTGCATCGCATTTCCGATACGATAGCTGTGAATGCACATGACATTTAGGCGACTTTCAAGACGATTTTCGAGTGCACTCGATTATATCTTAGCAACACAGAAACTTCATATCTAAGATTCGCATTTTATCGAGGAGACATTTTATCGGTATTATGATACCGTCATTAAACATTCTCGATTAAGCACCATATTTGAATAATACACGAAAAATGCGATTTCACGTTACCTCGCGATCTTCATTGCGCAGGTATGTTGCATGTAAGCCATGATCATTGTTCCAACGGATAATATTGTCATACATCCTAATGACAAAGACGCGAAGATATGCAAGAGAATCGGTAGAAAATATCTTCCTTGATCGACAAAATATTCCAGCAGAATATAAAAATGCCGCGGTCGGGACGAGTTCAATGGCGCTATAATGTCTAAAATTACAGGTAGATAATGGCCCGCCATTACGACGCATACACTTGAGGAAAATATCTCTGATTGGAATTGGGAATGATTAGATTTGCGCCAGTACGATTAAATGTCGCGCTGATAATAACGGCTCCGAAAACTTTGTCTTTACGCATCATGATTATCGTAAATTACCGCGTGAATCGGCCGTGCTTCTCCAATATCGCGATTTCTTGTTTGTTCCGTATTATGGTCCAGTGGTACCATATCAGATCCATGAGTAACTTCATTTACGATCGCAAATCCACGGTATCGTTTAAAGTAAAAGTACCAAATGCCTGGGCACTAATAACATTGGAACCTACTTAACGTTGAATATTCTTATTTAAATACGACTATTTAAACTTTGAAAATATAAAATATATATATATATATATATATATTCTCTATATTGTAAATGTTTGAATATTCGTATTTAAATATTAAAACGATGAGAATACTCAGAGTTAGGTATCAGTGTTCTTAGTGTCTAAGCATTGATAGTTTTATTTTAATTTTGTGTGAGCGGAAAGGAGATTTGACTTACATTCTCGGCGTTGAAGAAAAATATGCAGTACTTTAAAGCACATACGAGCATGGGAAGAACGATCGATATCACTGGTCGATTTTATGACTAGGTCTATAGTGCAGTCCGTGCTGAGCAACATCGTTGCAACTGAAAAAATGTTAGTTTCACATACGTATGTATTTTTCATGCGGGACTTTTCGGTGAATATTGTACTTGAAACTAAGTTTATTTTTCTTTTTCTTTCTTTTCAATTTCTCACTGAAAGTCGCGCTTTCGTGTCGTCGTGAGACGAGACTGTCATACCTGGAACACTATAAACGACAGTATACCGACGAGAAAGAACGCAGCCTGTGCTGGAACTTTGACTTCTGATAGGGCCACAAGCCGCTTACTAGCAAAAGCATCCGATTGAGGTCATAGTACTTACTCACGGGGAGGAACATCTCTCTTCGAGTGCCGAAACTCAACTGCGCACGGGACTGCGTCGCAGGGATCATTGTTTTCCTCCCTTCCGCGACGCCGCATTACATATGCAAATTCTTGCTGTCTCGCATTTCTCCACGAAAATAGCGAATGCATAGCCCTTGGCGCGAACAAATGGCGACAATTCGACGAGTGAATAGCTGTGCCTAGCGTAATGAACAATACAGCCGACTTTGGTGCGAAATTACGCATACTTCTGTCACGATTTTAAACAATTTCGAACGCCGGTTCCGAGAGGATCTCTCTCCGACCTTCGTTTGTTATATTTTATTATTATTTGAGACGAAGATTTTTATACTTGTGTTTCGTAACGTAAGAAACTTTGCGAAATCACTCCTCGGAAACGTCGACATTTGATTATCCCGACGATAGCTCGTAAAATATCACGAATTGTTTCAAAAATGCAACAGATGTACCATCGTGTTAGTATCTCTAATTATTTTTATTTTACGAGACATGCTCGCCGTGAGAGATGAAGACGTGCGAAATGCCGTGACTCGTCGTTTCCCCGCGTCGTCGAATATTCAACGAACACGCCATCCATACGAGGATATACATACTCGCTCGTGATCTTATTCCTCTGGAGCATCGTTAATAATCCGACCGTATCTCGTGTGGGTTACTATAATCATTTGTGTCGCTTCTATCGTATCTCGCGTCGTCATTGTATAGAGTAGATCACCATGCAGTAGGATATCGACTTACTCGTGAGCTAAAATCGTTATTTCGTATTCTCTTATCACGCTTACATAGAGCGTTATCTCTACACTCGCTCTAAGTGCGCTATCTATGAGAAATGAAAGCGTGACGCTACACAGGGAGCGATAATAATCTCAACACATAGAAAAATACATTCTACATTCAAGTAAGTGTTACTTGTTTGAAGTATTTGTTTTAAGTTTATATTTTTGCAAATCTATCATAAAATTATCATAAGTACCAAATTTGTTCAAAATACATTCTGCATCCTAGTAAGCTTATTATTTCAAAAATATTAAATTAAAGGAAAAATTCGGTATGCTTAGTTAAAAATTCGGTTGGTTTAAATAAATAAATAAATAAATAATATTTTTGTAAAAATAATAAATGTTTCTTTTAAGTATATGATAATGGACTTTTTTGAAACTTGTAATAAGTATATTTTAAAACTATTACCAAGAAAATATTTTTTGTTGAAAATAAACGTTACTTAAAAAGAGAAGAGTAAATTGAGTAATTACTTTTCTTAGTAGTAGAATGATATTTTTCTGTGTGTACTAAAGTAAGCGCGGTACGGTTGCATTAGCATAATTAACGAAGAGTATGTGCACACTGACTATAAAAAACCTTACGAATCGTCTCACCCTGACGAAACTTTCCATCGAGACGACGTATATCCCTTCCATAACTATCGCGTAGTTTTTGATATTTTTTAACATTGCGAAAAGAATTAATTTCTGCACATGGATAGGCGCCACGTACCACTCTATTTTGTATCTGAAATTGCACGGACAACATGAGTCAAGATTATTGCACAGTTACGAAATGCGAGTCACGTGACTATTGAAAATCTGTTTCTGATATTTAATTATATAGGCTAGAGAATTTTTTGACTTTTGTCTCTGTACTTACAGTGCTTTAGATATATCCGCGCTGTGATCTATAATCCCTTGTCCGCTATAATTCAACGCGAAGATATAGATAAAATGTACGACGACGTAGAACATATATAATATTATTTCATTTATGTTAGTGAGGTTCAGTATGGCTTGCAGTGTCTGGAATTGAAAGTAGAAAAGGACTATCGACGAAGAAGAAGAAAAGAAAGTTCGATTCGGTGAGACGCGTATTACTTACATGCAACAAATTAATTGCCAACGAAACTACGCTTATACCGATTAAACAGAATGTGGAATATTTAAAGCTGGATACGAGTTGTTCGCTGAACCTTCACGAGCAACAGAGAAATCTGCTAATCCCTATTACTTATTTTCCGAAATTGGATGTTAAATGTTACACAATGAATAACAAAATACGAAGAAAAAACTAGATTGTAATAGATAGTGATCAGACGAAGTTCTCTTTATGAAGAAAAACTTTAAGATATTCAAAAAATTATCTAAAATTTTAACTTCTTGTCATGTGACATAAGTGATGAAAGAAAGTCACTAATATGGAAAGATCGATATAATCTTAAGTATGAGTCATTTCAGATTCTTGAATATATAAAGAGTATAAATATAGCTTGGATATTTCCAAGTTTCGAGAGAATTCGTCTCAGCGTGATTATATTTGCAAGAAGAATGATTATTTCAAGTTGATACCGACTTCATCATTCTTAATTGAATATTGATGGCGCTTATTAACTTCCGACAAATTAGGCGATCTTGTCCACGAATCGGCATGTACGAAACGTACTCGTCCATTGAATGTTCGATACGATAACTGCAAACCGCGCAGATATTTCATTTCATGGTTGCAGTTACAAATATTCCGACAGATATTCGACATATACGTATACGAAGAGCTACGTACCAAGTGATTTTTAACATCATACAAGCGTGTCGTATGTATACAATTATCATTGTTAAAGTGGTTGTTATCACAATTATACCCGTGAATTTGACTACTAAAACGTAAATGTAGTTCTCCTCGCTGAACTGTCCCGATGAAATATTGTTTTGTTTCTGGAGAGATTTGTTCGCCGTTGCGAAATTACCAGTGATAACCGAGATAAATCGCATTATTACCAGAACGAGCCAGCTGAAGATACCGTACACTGAAAAAGATGATCGTATTTGTAAAAAAATATCTATGTATGAGAAACAGATTCGTCGAGAAATAGTTGCGATGATCCGTCCGTCAAAGAAGACGGATCATTCAAGGTGTTCTTAGAGATTTTCTTACGAAGTAAGATTGTCGTCATTCGTCTCGTAAATTTTCCATATATCTTCGCTATCTCAATTTCTTCGGAATTTTTCAATGCACTCCATTCACTGCCAATCAGATGTAACAGTAATTTTGTCTATAAACGACACAAAAAATATATTCTGTGAACAACATAATTCATCGCGTGATCAGAGACAGAAAACGCAATCGCAAGATAAAATTTGAATATCTCGAAAACAATTCGAGACATGCAGATCTATACTTATTATTATTTCGTTCGAATTGTTATAATCATCTATAATTTCGAAGCATAATAGTTTATAGCAGCATATAACAGTACGTGAAAAAAAGAACATTGCTTTATTTGTATAAAATGTTTTTGGAAACTAACAAAGTTAAGCCGAGGAAAAATAACTCACTTTTTTCTTGTTAGTTAAGAAGACAAGAAACATTAGCATGCATATGCTAATGGGAAGAACATCCGATAAGATCTCTAAACCTAATTTAAAATTGTATTCTTGGATGAACAGTGTGACCAACTAAAATCGAAAGAATGTATTAATACAATAAACGTATCAAAAGAATACGTATGAAAGTTGCGCGAATACTCCGAAATATTGTCTCGTTGGTCGCACTGATACGTACCTTATCAACTATGAAGGAGGCCAATACACCGAGTATGAACACAGCTCGTACGTACCGGAATTTGGTATCGTATGGCCATAAGCCGCATAACAGAAGAAGTATTCGATTAATGTTGTAGCTCCAACTCTCTATCACGATCATCTTTCCATGAATGTCGAGGTGTGTATGCGCTCGACCATCCTTGAAGACCTCTTTCTTCCCCCTCTCTTGGTGCGAGACATTAACGCGGTGCAGTCTCGACGCAAATAATAATTTGCAAAATTACCCTTACTTACGCGCGGAAAACGATCGATAATAGTTTAGTGCACTTTTCGATATTCACGCGAGAAAGAAAATTGGCCCGAATTAACTAAAATATCGTCGCGACGTCTGGTAATACTTTACTCGCGGGCGAGAACGACGAAATAAGATTTCTGAAGCGCCTGAGTAGCACAGACACGTCTGGTAAGCAAGGTCCGTCGATCTGTGTGACGCTATCATTAGAGCTCGAGGCCATTGCACGTTGCTTTGACTTTATTAATGTTTCTATTACTGGCGAAATCGTCCGTACGTTGGAGCTCATTCAACAAGAAATGCAGTCGCGATGTAAGAGCACACCAAGCGAGAGGTAATCGAGAACTGCTTAACAACAGTAATTTGCAGAACAATTAGAAGCCTTTGCGCGGTGTAACGAATAGCTGTACTTGATATACTTTATGGATATATTTTTGTATCAGAGCATTAAATGTACGATGCGATAAGTGATATAAAATCATTTATTGACGTCATTTGTTATTTACTCATGAACAAACAACGGAGGACGTTATCGTTTTGCTATAACTCAAAGTCTATATCTCTACTGGAGAATATTTCTACGTGAACTGCGGGAGCGCGGCAAAGTGGCGCGCTTTCCGCGTCGTGCTACTTATCAAATTGCTGCGTCGAGTAGATCACCGTGAAGTAAGACATCGACATGCTCGAGAGCTACAACAAACGACCCCGTGGGATTAATGGAATGTCGGTGGACGTTCCGCGCGGTTTGACAAACCTTACCGTGGTGAAGCCCTCCAGCGATGCGACGAATACATTGCTGGCATTTAATTTAGAACCTTTCATGTTACATTGCATCATGAACAATAGCAGTCTTTGTACCGATACAGGCGCTGTGTACCACAGCGATTTGTATCTGGAAAGATGTTGCAATTAACTCAAATTAGTCAGTGAACAATCTGTCGTCTTAGCGCGATCGGGAGAGGCACGGTATCGCGAAAGTGTTGCCAAATGTCGCGTTTGTAAATGTGTGTTGTAGATATCGATTCATTTGTGTTGATTTCGATGCACAGAAAGAACAAATAATGTAGCATAATATGCAAGGAGACTTTAGAGTCACTAATGAACAACAGTTTCTACAACAACGAGGGAATTGGTAATTATTTTCGCAGTTGTAATCACGGCTTCATGATTTTCATGTAGATCGTAAAAAGAGTTTTGTACAATACAATAAAAATATGGATCTTTGTTATATTGTACTATCACAGAAAAGTAATCTAAATGATTTTGCGATCCTCTTTACATTATTGCTCTCATAATACATAAACAAAACGTATAGTCAACATGACCCTCGGCGTCGATTTGACCCAGTCTCTACTATGTTCGCACGCGTTATCCAACGAGTCAGTAGCGAGTAAATGCAAATTTCGCGAATTTCCTATGCAGTTTGGTGGAAGAAATACCGTCGCGCGCTGGAATGAGACACGATACTCACATCGCGTTAAATAGCTCGTTAGCGTGGTCCACGATCAATTGCCCGCTGTAATTACCTGCGAACAGGTAAATTTCATGTCCAATAACGAATCCCAAGGCCGCCATGAATTCGGCAAAATTATCCATGTATACTATTGCTTGCAGCAACTGTAGACCAATTAGCGAATGAGATAAACGATATCACTGATTATTCTTATTATTTACATGCGACAAAGCGATAGAAACAACGAGTGTGACAGCGAGCTCAGAAATAAGTTCGCGTAATGTAAGTATGACGCGACTTTCGGCGATTTTGTAGTGCGTTAACGTTATGATGCAGATAAAATACGAAAGATGTTTACCAGAGACAAAGAAGAGAGAGTTGCACTTACTCTAAATAAGTTTAAGCTTAAAGAAATGACCCCTATCGACGTCATACTGGACAAAAACACAATGTAACTTGACATTAACATTTCGATGAGCCTTAAAAGAAAATCGTGGCATTCAAACATCGGAATTTGCTTTGTACGATTCTTTCATAGACACTTACTTTTGCGCATTTCGATGAAGCTCCACCGACTTGATGATCCTCTCGATTATCACGTATTGTCTATCGGAACGCGCTATTATTTCCTTATCTACGATGTGTTCCATCCAGTAACTAATCGCATCAAGTTATATTTTAATATGACCGCGCGGTGTGAGATCGTTTGTGTTCTAACGAGAGTTCTCTAACCGTCGATAACTTCGTGAGGCGTAGCGCGCATTTCTCACCTGGAGATTTTGAATATCGCGCAGATGTGTAAAATAATTGACATGAGCATCGAACCGACGGCCACCAATGTGAGCATACCGATAATGACGCTTGCCATAATATACAAGAAAAGAGGATAAAAATATATATTTTGATATCCAGAGTATTCGTTCACGGGTGACAAGTAGTGTATGCGTGACTCGTTTAGCGGCAAGTAATAATTGAGAATGTCCGGCATCATTACCATCGTTGCGTAACCAAACACAGCCACCGACGTGAACGCTAAGTTGTATAAAATACGTTAGGTTACAACGAGAACATTATGGGAAGAACATCAAAGTACATTGAGACAAGAAACGAAAGCATTCGTTAATTACTGAACAATTTGTTATCACGAATGTGCAAACTTAACAAGCTTCTATTTCTTTTTTTTTTCTAGAAGATACAGCACCTTTTATATTACTTCTTACATATGAGAAAAATCATTAGCTGTCTTCCTTGGCGAGCATAATGTTCCACTATTTTAATTTCCTGTATGTCCGTGAATATCCGCCAGTCGTTTATTATTCGCTCTAGTATCTGTTTTATCTGCATTATGTGAACTCGCCGTCACGTAAGCGCGATAATTTCTTACGAAAATCGACTTTTTCGACTTACCATTTCGGCATCGTAGAAAAAGAGATTAAACTTTATGAAGTAAATTATAGCCGGGAATGCTTCCCCGAGAATCCGAATAACGACATCCAAGTGAAAGTCAACGATAGTAAATTGCGTTAACTTAACAGAAAAGAAGTCTTATAAATTTAAGCTGGTCAGTTTAGAGCATGATGTATGAAAACGCGCACATAAGACACATGGACATACACACGAAAAAAAGAGAAAGACATACATATAAAGTGTGGAATTACCTGAACTATCATGTAAGAAAAGAGCAATGCATTGAAACAGATTGCGCGTAAACGTTGAAACTTGGTTTTCTTGTAAGGCCACAGACCGAGAAACTTCAAAAAAGTTTGATTAAGTTTATAGTTGCGATTGTCGAATGGATACATCTTTGTACGATGGTTGAGACGCGAATGGCGAGCGGATCTTCAGCGAGCAAATTTCGTATTTCCTTGCGCATATTCTCTCGCGCAGTGATTCATTTAATGCGCCGACCAATCTTCTCTTGGATTTTTTGCGGGGTATAATGGGAAATACACAACGTCGGAAAGTGAGTGACAGTTGAAGCAATTTAAGCGTTTTTCATGACCGAATGGCGGAGGAAGAAAAGGATTTGATTGTTGCATGGGGTATCGCCGATTTACCGCGAACAAAACGCAGGAAATTTCAGCCATCTAAACGTTTTCGGTGAAAAAGAAATCCTCTCCTGCTAGTAATTTTTTATAAGCAATTACAGACTTTTCTGTTTCGATACGGCGCAAGCGTATTCGCGCAATATCGCTGCCAGTAGCAGCCAAATAGAAGTTTTATTCTCATATCAGCTGTCTCTATCCACCACAAAAGAAACCTGAAGATAACACTTGACATATTGCAAGGAAAACATATTGCAATAAACTATCAAAGGTCGTGTTCCGCACACAGTTAATTGACGATATTCTAATCTTTCATTGTGAGTAATTTTTACATATATAAGTATGTAAACGTAACCGAAAAGTATATACTATGAGAGTATAAAATTTATATGCATGACAAGCCTTTTCTTATCGCAACGTAAGATGAAAGAAGATAAAATTATCATTATTATTGTGTAATCAATTAATTTTACTTTTTATATTTTACGTAATTATAACTGAGATAAAAAGTGGTACATCTGTCATTAAGTGATTACTTATATTGCGTAGGGCTGGCGTGAACGTGTTTTATTTAGTGGAAAGATTATGTTGAGAATCATTAGGAAATAATTTCGATATAGAGCTTTTGTTTACTCAAATACAATACACGGATGATACTCAACTTATTAGTTTAGCGGTCATGTATACGTGGAATGTGTGTATGTATGGTTAATTTATCTTAATCTATTTTAATTTATGATGATCAATATTGATGATTGATATTGACGATCGATACTGACGATCAATATTGATGATCGATATTGACATATGAGAGGGGTATTCGTAATTCAAATATAAGGTTTGGAGATGTACTTTTAACACCTTTATTATGATATAATTGGATGTTAAATTATTGAAATTGCAAGTTTTGTCTTGATTTTCCAGATTGTGAAGGGAAATAATATATTCGTTTGTTGAAAAAGAATAATGTTATGATCGTCAAGATACTTTCCTGCCTGCCAGCAGTACAGACCGTGCAAATCGTCTAAATTTTTTCACTCTTGTCATGTGTGTTTTCACAAAATATTCCAAACTGCGGTGCGTTCCCTTTCTGTATCGAGACAAACAAAAGGAAGTAAAATTATAAAAATTGCATGGGGCGTTCTCCAAATGCGGTTTTTTTGAACTAGCGAGGAAATAACATCCATTGCTTTTTTTTCACATCGGCGCAGGCGCGTTTATGGATTCGTCGCCATGACGTTTGACTCCTTTCTGTGATTGCACTGTCGAGTGTAGCATTGTAGTTCATGACTTACAAGGAAATCCATACAAATGTCCGTCTCCGATTTTCATGAATTTGTAATATATTGTACTTTAGATCAAAATAACAGATACGTTTTTATTATATGTATCTTTTGACAAGTTTAGGGGGTGAAATATCCCTTTGAAAAAAATCGGTTTTTTTCACTTAAAGGGAATATAATGAAAACTATAAGAGATAGAAAAAAATATTTTGAATAAAAGTTGGATGGTTTAAAGAGTATTTTGCAGAAATTATTTGAAAAAACATTTTTGTTCAATCATTAAACTTTTATTCAAAATATTTGTTTTCTATCTCTTATAGTTTTCATTATATTCCCTTCGAATGAAAAAAATCAATTTTCTTCAAAGGGGTATTTCACCCCCTAAACTTGCGAAAGGGCACATATAATAAAAAACGTATCTGTTATTTTGATCTAAAGTACAACATTTACAAGTTCATAAAAATTAGAGGCGGGCACTTGTGTGAGTATCCTTGTTAGTCGTGAGTATTTCATATAATGTGTATCCCTTAGAAGTTACGCGTGTGGTTGAATGCGGGGATTTTCATTATTAGTAAAAAATGGTGTGAAAGGAGAAACTGTTTTCTTTTTTCAATATGTAACACTTAGCCCAAGTGATATTACATGATTTGATCTGAATCTGATAATCATGGTGATATATGGTAATATTTCTCATAAGTGTGAGCAATTTGAGTGAGTAAGATCTCGCAAAGTCAAGTGTAGATACACAAACAATGTTCGCTAATTTGTTTGATGTAATTCAGGCATAAAATCCCCGTTTTAATCATCGAGCATATTTCAGTTGATTGTCCTGAGTATAAATCATAATTATTATGAATATGCAAGCGTAAGTTAAAGTATATAGATAGTAAGTTATAGATATATGTAAAGATAAGATTGGCGTATATAGAAGGGATTTTTTGACAGAAATTATGATGATAAGAGTAAAACTGAAATACTATTGTTCAATCAACTCTTTATTCTTAATATATTATTCTTGTCACTTGTCCTTTGCTTCTTTTTATCGCTGTACATAATAAATAGTATAAGATATATGTGACATGTTTAGAAATTGCAATAATCCAAACTTTCTGAGCCTCTACATATCGCTTACTATACACAATCAATAACGTGTTATTTATTATTTTCGATAAGTTGTACTTCTGATAATTGTAGAGTATAGATTACCGTGAAATAAGATACCGATGAACTCATTAGCTATAAAACAAATCCGTTAAACAATTTTTATTATGTTTTGAATGCGTATTTTTTCATTTTCAGCGAATGTTACGCACCTTACAAAAACCTATTATCGAACTTTCAATTATAGTGCCAACACATAAAAGATATTCTTTCGTTGTGTTCGTCATGATGAACAGAAACAACTTTTGAGTTTTTGTCGAAATTTCGTACCATTTTGTGTTATACCTGTTATTAAAAAATTATTTTACGCTAATGTGTATCTTCCGAACTTTCCGCAAAACTTAATTTCATAGAAATATGATTTCTATTTAAAAAGATTATCAACGGAGCAAATACTCACGCGTTGTAGAAAACTTTATTGCTATGATCCGTAATTTTCTGCCCGCAGCAACTAGCTATGAACATACATACGGTGCACATACAAATCACCATCATCGGTGAAAACAATTCATTTACATTTTTTTGCATGGTTATCGCATTGAGAACCTGTAACGCGAAATTGTTGGCTAAAGGTTCACAATTTAACCGTTTATTAAAAAGAGCTATGAAGTATATATACTCAAGAAAAAATACATACTCGAAAGAAGTTTAAACTCAAAGATATAACCCCAATTACAGTTATTAAGAAAAAATACGGCGCAAAAGTAGTTAATAGAAATGAGCTGCACCTTTAATTAAATAAAAGAAATGGAAGAAAATAATGAAAAATAGAACATACGTAGGGAAGTAACATCACATTGTTGTAAGAAATTTGAGAATATATTACGTATAGACACTGTTTAAAAAAATTAATAAGGGTCTAAGTAAGATGTCGATTGCAAATTAACTACATTCAGAAATAAAATAAGAAATGATGTGTCAAACATAGTAAAAAATCAATTAAACGTTTCGGTCGTCATTTCGACTTTTTTCAATGAAAATGCAAAGAATAACTAGAATTGCATCAACATATATATGTTATGTTGACGGGTAAAACGATTTTCAACTTTTTCATATTTTTTTTAATGGAAAGCGTTGTGAGTAATCTGTTTTGCAAATGAGTATATCGCCAAGTCCGAGTTAAGTCTATGTCCGGCTGCACACACCTGCTAGCGAAACGAGCAAGCAACTCATCCTACTGACTAATATATTGACGCAACACCCTGTGCAAATATTACATGGTAACGGACGTACCACACTTGTGGAACACCGGAAGGACATCTCATGCTTGGCATGAGACTAAGCAACCCAACCCAACTCGTGTGTTATAGGATATTCTTTCGATATTCCATATGTAAATATTAGACTAGTGATCGTATAATAATAGTGTATTATTTTTTTCATCTCCACCCTCCACAGGAGGGTCGGCATAACAAACGAAACGTTTGGCTGATTTTTTAGTAAGTTTGATGCTTCACTCGCTATACATTATTTATGAGTATAATGAGTTGCGCAATTGACATTTTGCATACGCTCTCATTGGCTTTTTTAATTTGTATTTACTTGTGCAAGGGCGTCGATAATTTATTCAGTATACTATACCAACTTGAGAGCTTTTCGATGTATATCCATCGCGGCGACTATATTTCGAGAAATCATGCGATCTTGCTTCTCTCTGAGATTACACGGCATACATTGGCTAATCGAATGTTCAATTCGATAACTACAAATATATACAATGACGCATTCATTAATAATCTCGAAAGAAATACTTATACATATTGCGTATATATTCTGTATATATATTCTGTATTCTCTTAAGTGTTACATTTTAATTAAAAAACCGTAAGTGGATGGCTATTTCATTGATTGTTAATTATTTTAATTGCCATTATGGAAGATAATTTATTTCTATATAGGTAATATTCCACGACTTACCTGGCAACACTAAACATCCCGCAGATATGTTCGACATATACCGTAAATAACATAAACACGGTTATAGCAATGAGAAAGTTGACAAATACACCGATCAACCAGTGGCACAAGAGTGGGTAAAAGTATGTTTCCTCATCGACAAAATACTCCGTTACCGCGTAGAAGTGATGCGGCCGGGTCTCATTTAACGGAAACATTAGATTAAGAATATTCGGCGTGAATTGAAAAACTGAATACGAAATTAGGGACATGACGACAATCACTAAGAAATTCATGTAGAAAATTACTTTATTTGATTATCGTTGTGGTATTAGTTTAGTAATAAAGCACACGAGCATATAGTCAATTAATTTTTATAATGCAAAATGGAGTTTGTTCGAATCACGCGTGATAGCATTTAAGCACGATGACCCATTCAAGTATTTGAGGTCATTTAAAAATATAAGAAGCTAATTATGTCTAGAAAGTAAAGTATTAGGTTAAACCCTAAATAACACCGATCTTTTTTCAAATATCTTTTCATATGGAATGCTCTGAATCTTCATTCCACTAATAATGCATATATTCAACTAATCAGCAGCTTATCGATCTTTCCTTTCCTGTAATTTCCCGAAAAAATAAATGTCGTAGTTTTCGTCGGCAGCTATTTAGGATTTTATCAAAATCAAATTTCGCGCGTTATGTGCACATTTCCGCTGTTCTAATGTAAAATTCTTAATGAAAATAGCGTACTATACACGTCAAGTTATATTATGCTAATTGGCTACATGTTCTGTTCTTTTTGTAAATCATTTTCATACATAACACTGCTGTTGAAAACAGTTGTCCTGACAACGAATATTTACGCATTATCTCGCGTTCTGCTTCGTTTTTCAAGATGTCCCAAGTATAACGAATGTCTTTCCAAATCTGTCTCACCTGTAGTCGGGATATTTCAGGTAACATCTGAATGTCAAATGCCAAGTAATGTCACAAAGTAAAATATAACGTGCGACTCACAGCATTAGGGTTAGTGTAAAACGAACAGTATAATATGATACTTATAAGAGACGGCATGGTAAACGATAACACAGTGATGACGAAATTCATAGTACATTGGTATGTCAGAAAGGACGTTAACTGCAAGCGACGAGCATATGAAAAACGTTGCGTCTTATAATATTCAACTACATATATTCTTTGCTAAATGCATAAACTGAAAGTGAAATACTACGATATAAAGAACAAGAAGATTTTTAGTTAAATTATTACAAAATTAAAAAAAAATATCGACATTTGCAAAATATCGGTCAAGCACCGCACGATTGAATCTGTATAGGAATTATAGGAATAGTACCTGAAAAAATACTAAGGACACCAATAGAGTCCAGTTGATGATGTGATTAATTATTGCGAATTTCGATCGGCGATATGGCCACAGTTTGAACGTGGAAAGAAGTAACTGATTTATCTTATAATAATGATACTCGGCGAAGTCTGTCTCTTCGCAATACGAGGACATTATCGCGAGAGATCTAAGAGCGAGATACTGTCTGGCTGCTTAACAGAACAGTCTGACCGACAATGTTGGACTGTGATCTTCATATTTTTATTCTCGTAAAATAATTTTACAAAATGTATCGACAATTGCAGGAAACTCGCACGTAATGACTTGCGTGTGAGGAAGGGCGATCAACATATGCCACGTATGTTTTTGACGTTTAAGGGAACGATACAAAGTCAAATTATCAAAATTGCACGTTGTGTTCGACAGATGGTTCTTTCTCGCACTGGTGGGAGAAACGATATCCCCACTTTTTCTCTCACCTTGACGCAAGCGCGTTCATGGGTTCCCCATGGAGTCGTCGTGACGTTTTATTGCTTTCTGCAATGTCGAGCGTAACACTATGCTGTTGATTAAGTCGCGAGTGCTTTTTGTAATATATGTCACGTGGACGTATGGACGTGAATATACAAATGACAGATACAAAAAGTAAGTACGTGAAAGTACAAAATTTTCATTTTTTCGCGACACAGATTGTGATGACAAGAGTAAGATAGTAAGATTGAAATACTATTGTTTTTATTTTTAATATATTATTTTCGTGCTTGGTATTTGTTCATTGCTCTTTTCTATCGTTATTTTGAGTAAATTACCGTAGTGTAATGTGACATGTTTACAATTGCAACAGTCGATTCGTGATTAAGGGAGTCTTGCGAGTCAGGAGAGGGCGATCGATCATACGCTTTTATTTTCGATGTCGCGAAGGAAATGTCCGGAAATGAAATTATCAAAATTGCAATTACATTAGTCCGATGTGCTTTTCCCAAGGGGAGTCGTAAGGCAAAAATAACCCCTTTTATATTCTCTCGCGCAGACGCGTTTGATGTTTCCTTGGAGGGTTCGTCGCGACGCGTCATTATTGTTCGTGACATCGAGTCTTGTGTTTCGCTCCGTTGTTCAGATGTTCCTTGTGTTGTGTGTCAGAAGCTACACGTTTGATAGAGTGTTCTTTTCGCTATTAGAAATTGTGCAAAACCCGGCGCAAATACTAGTTAGTCACGTTAAAAAATGTTTTAGTGGTAGTGATTGGTTGAGTGGTGTAATTTTTGAAGTGCTTCCTTTTCTTGGAAGCTCTCAGGATTAAACGCGTCTTTGACGATGATCGTCTGATCTCATAAGCAGTGATAGATTTTACTCGAATTTTAATGAACAAGAGTTTCAAGGATTTGTGTTGCTGCGTGAATGGAGACAGTCACAACTCCGGAATTCAAGGAAAGAAAGGTATGATGCAAATGAAATGTTAACATGATAGATATATTTTCAATGTGGCATCGTTTAAGATGTAGCTGAATTCATGCTAGTATACGCTAATTAAAAAATGTCATAATAATACATTGACCTCTCACTCCGTACAACGGTATCACGGCTTTTTAAATTCTCCAGTTTGTTTAATTTTTTTTCTCGCGGCAGTCGATAATTGAGATAGATACTTGAAGACCGTATTTGTACGCGGAAACTGCGTCAACTCTTTCGGTGATCTCGTGTAAACATCTACGATTTTGACTGCTGACAGCTCGCTCGTATTCTACGTTGTCATCGCATGGAGTAAATCATCGTGAAATAAGATATCGAACGAATTAAAAACGGAAAGATTGTGAAGAGGTGTCCAATTGAATATACGATATCTCTTGAGTCAGTCGCGGAAAACTCAGTTCGATTTTTTGTCTTTTTTGACGATAAAGTAGTTACCTCCTGCAATAAAAGTACAATGTTGTCAGAAAATCGGTGAACTATTATATATTTTGTTGTCTAAAATGTTAGACAACGACGGCAATTACTTAGTGAATAATTTGTTTTTATTGAATGTGATAAAATTTGCTCAAAAATCGAAACGAACTTTTTAACTGACTCAATATAACAATCGTGTCGCGTGTCATCTAGTCTTAACAATGAGAATCTATAGGAACAAGGTCGGAATTAAAGTAATCGATCCTTTATGAACACCGTGAATTGCCTGGAAATATCGGTATTATTTTCTCAATGTATCAACTTCACCCGGAGCCTTCGATATCGTCTATTCGTCACGAATTCTCTTTCTCTCTCTCTCTTTCTCTCAAAAGATAGATAGATAGATAGATAGATAGATAGATAGATAGATAGATAG